GTTGAATGTCTATGCAGAGCAGGATTTGGTAGGAATAGGATATGGACTGTGAACCTGAGAGGACACCTGTGGGGGAAGGAACAGTGTCCTGTGTGGAGAAGACACCAGAAACACACCTTGCCTTCTCAGCTGTCTCACCTGGGGCTTGCTGGTGCCTGCGGGCCCACTGTCCTACTGACGACGTGTATATTACTATTTTTACTAATCGTGTTGAGGAAAAAAAAAATCATTGCCCATTTTTCTAATTGAATACTTTGTAATTGTTACTATTATAGACATTCTTGAAATCCTTCTATATGGGGCACAAGTAAAATGAATGTCCTTTGCAGAAAGTGAGGAGTGACTTCTTTTAAGATAGAGAAAATACCGGTTTCGGAGAATAACCCACCCATCTTTTTTTAAAGAAGCAGTCACCAGCAGCCGTGAAGCCCAGTCACTGCACCTTTCCGAGCTTTGGTTTCCTGAATGTCTTGGTAGCACCTGCCCTTCCAGCCTTAGGCCAAGAAGTGTGGTTACTGACAAGGATCAAATGAGATAAACTAAGAAAAACGCTTTAAATGAAAGGAAATTTAAATGTAAAGGAAATGCATTGGGGCCCCCCGGGTGGCTCGGTCGGGTAAGCATCTGACTCCCTTTCAGCTCAGCTCACGATCTCAGGGTTGCGAGATCAAGCCCCGCGTTGGGCTCCGTGCTTGGCGGAGATCTGCTTGGAGACTCTCTCCCTCTCCCCCTCCTCCCACTCGTGCTCTCTATCTCTCAAATGAATAAATAAATCTTTTTTTTTTTTTAAATGCATTGTGCCTAATGAATATGTTGTTATATTACTAGAAGTGGCTCTTGGGTCGTGGTGACGTTTGTATAGACATGCATATTTTACTATAATAAAACAATTTCTTAAATGACTCTTGACACTTGTCGGCAGGGTCTGAGGTGCCCCATTTCTTGGGTATGTGGGCATATAGTGAAGCAAGAACATGGAGGCCCCTCACCTTGTTTATGCTCAGGCCTCCAAGAAAATATGGAAAAAGTTAGGTTGGTGACATGGATATTGTCATCACAGCCCAACGATTACCTCAGTTTCCTCCTTCCTAGATCAGTGGTGTGTGTTCTTGTCTGCAGTAGTTTCTTTTCAAAAAGTTGAGGAGGGGGGCGCCTGGGTGGCTCAGTCGTTAAGTGTCTGCCTTCGGCTCAGGTCATGATCCCAGGGTCCTGGGATTGAGCCCCACATCGGGCTCCCTGCTCGGTGGGAAGCCTGCTTCTCCCTCTCCCACGCCCCCTGCTTGTGTTCCCTCTCTCGCTGTGTCTCTATCAAATAAATAAATAAAATCTTTAAAAAAAAAAAAAAAGTTGAGGAGGCAGGGATTGGCAACCAGCAAGTCAGAATATATAAATTGAAATCAGTGACTCTCAACTCTTCTGTCCATGACTGTCTAATCATCTTGATATCGAAGCAAAAATCAAAAGACTTAAAATTTCAACTGTTAACAAATTTTAGATAACTAATTGAGTCCCTACAAGGCCCAGGAGGGAATGAACTAGACTGATTGGAATGCAATCGCTTTTCTTTTCTCTTCCCACTCCCTAAAAAGAGTCTAGGGCCAGAGCCAAGGCTGGCTGCCAGGGTCAAAGAAGGGCGGAGAGGGGTCCAATCGAATCCCCAATCCAGACCACCTGGCCTTTGGGTCAGGTATAACCACTTAATAAAGAAGCAACAAAAGCAACAAACAAAAGAATATGCGTGTTCTGGGGATTTTTGTTTTGTGGACAGTATTTGTCTTGGACTAATGTCCTCTGGTGCAAGTCTAGATCAATGGGAAGGGTATGCCACAGTTGGCTGGAAGGAGCTCTAATCCTAGGCTTTCTTAGAGGTGTTTACAGGATCAAACTTGCTTAGCAGATTAGTAGACACAGGTCTGTGGAATAGGCCTTCAGGTGGGAGCTGAGATTCAGGAGGGTAGGAAGCACTTGGCAAACAAGGCTGTCCTTACCCTGTGCTGGGTGAGGACTGGCTCCCCCAAGTCCTGTTGCAGGGGAGGGCCACCTCCCCTGGCACAGAGGACTGTGGACATCATTCATTTTGATACAAATCCTCACACACACATATCTCAAGATGGAAGCAAGAAACTGGTTAAAGCAAGTGAATTAATAATGATCCTTGCAGACCGCAAGAAGTTTAACAAGCTTGAGTTCACATTTCCCTTGTTAATTATTCATCTCCCTTTTTTTTTTTAAGATTTTATTTATTTATTTGACAGAGACACAGCAAGAGAGGGAACACAAGCAGGGGGAGTGGGAGAGGAAGAAGCAGGCCTCCCACGGAGCAGGGAGCCCGATGTGGGGCTTGATCCCAGGACCCCGGGATCATGACCTGAGCCGAAGGCAGACGCTTAACGACTGAGCCACGCAGGCATCTCCCTTTTTAGAAAGAGCTAAGACTGGGGATGCCTAGGATCCATACCTTACAAATGATACAAGCTGAAGCCCTTGAGACCCCTCTGTTCATTCTCAGCACAGCCCCCTGGATGCCTCCAGCAACTCATCCATTTCTGCCAGGCCGGGCCTGGGTGCAGACGGGAGAACAAGCCTCTCAAGCGAGACCTTCCTGGGTTTGTGTGCTGACTTTGCCATTTATCAGCTCTTTGACACTGAACTGTTTGCTTCCCTGTACAATATGTCTAATAATTTATAGCCATCATACAGATGTTGTAAACTTGGGTAGCAATGGCAGTAAATACTTACTGACAACTGTTGAAGGCCCAGGCACTACTCTAAGTGCTCGATCTGTTCTATCTCTTATAATTCTGCTCAGGTTGGAATTCCAAAGCTGGGTGGGGTCTGAAGATTGGTATTTTTTTCAACATTCCCAGTTAGTTCTCAGATCAGTCATATTGAGAACCGTGGTTGTGTATTCATGTGTAGACATTGACTAACAGCTTAGTTTAAATTTATTGCTCTTCCATCCACATTGTTCATTTCAAATTCCCTAGGGAAGGGAGACTAGTGTGTTTCAGGAGAAAAATCCTTGTGTTTGGTCCAACAGGATTGAGTTTGAATCTGCGTATGTGTTTGAGCCTCAGTTTCCTCATCCATAACACGGGAGACTAATCCCCTGCACTGTGAGGTGAATTAGAGATAATCCAGTTAAGGGTACAGCATACAGGAATTGTATTATTGCCAGTGTTTTGGTTCTAAAATGTGCAAGATGTGAAAGCAAAAGGACAGAAAGCCCTTAAAAACATTCAAACAGGAAACAGGGGCAGAGGGTGGGGAGGAGTTAGAGGATGAGGAAAAGCTGGGGAGGGCCTGGGGCTCTGGGAGGGTGGGGAGGAGTTAGAGGATGAGGAAAAGCTGGGGAGGGCCTGGGGCTCTGGGTGGGTGGGGAGGAGTTAGAGGATGAGGAAAAGCTGGGGAGGGCCTGGGGCTCTGGGAGGGTGGGGAGGAGTTAGAGGATGAGGAAAAGCTGGGGAGGGCCTGGGAGACAAATCTGCATGTTACCACGACTCCAGGCTCAGTGATGGAGGAAGCACTGGTTACTACTAAACCTAAGAGCACAGCCTAAGGCAAACAGTGTTGTTACCCCTACTTAGGACTGGGCCAGACCCACCTGTTTTCTTGTGCAGGATCTCCCATTTCAGCTAGAGGCCCATTTGGACCCTAGAAGAGCCCCTGCCATATGAACCCATGGGTGGTGTGTGTGTTTGTAGGGGCGGGTGGTGGTGCATGTCATCAGTGCTGAGGTTTGAGAACAGAGGACAATTCCTCTCCCCAGACCCCTTTCAAAGGAGAATGGCATTTTACTAGCCACAGGCAGTCTTTAAGTTACAGGGGTTTGAAAATTACAGGGGTTATTAATATTAAGTGTAGTCAGTATAAATGCTTTCTGATAAAGCATGTCCAGCTTCCAGGTGTAGCGGGGGGGGGGGGGGGACGAGGGGGCGGGGAGCTTTTCTCTTCCCTCCTAGGTTCTTTGGCCGGTTTAATAATTAAATTGACAAAAGACAGAGTAACAAGAGAATAATAAAGTTAATTTCATATGTATAAGAGCTCATAGAAATATCAGACTCAAAGAAATGACTGAAGCAGGCAGCTTTTTTTTTTTTTAAAGATTTATTTATTAGGGGGGAGGCAGTGCGGGCACATGCGCACACACATGTGCGAGCAAATGGGGGGAGGGGCAGAGGGAGCTGGAGAGAATCTCAAGCAGACTCCCCACTGAGCCCCATGCGGGGCTCCATCCAATGACCCTGAGATCATGACCTGAGCTGAAATCAAGAGTCAGAGGCTTAGGGGTGCCTGGGTGGCTCAGTCGGTTAAGCATCCGCCGTTAGCTCAGGTCATGATCCCAGGGTCCTGAGATCGAGCCCCACGAGGCGCTCCCTGCTCAGCAGAGAGCCTGCTTCTCCCTCTCCTCCCTACTCATGCTCTCGGTCACTATCTCTGACTCTCTCTCTCAAATAAATAAATAAAATCTTAAAAAAAAAAGAGAGAGAGAGAGAGACTTACCCGACTAAACCAACCAGGCACCCCCAAGCAGGCAGCTTTTATATCTTTTAGACAAATAATAACTTTGTGAAAAATTGACAAGAGAAAAAGTTTGGGCTTGGGGTAGTAAATTAGTGAGGAAGCAACAAGGTTTGCTTACACAGTCTTCTCAGCTCTAACTTCCCATCTCTGGTTGTAAGGATGTCTCTCTACCTCCTGCTAAGGGAGGGTAGCTTTCACATCAGAGATTTATTTTCTGCTTTCAGGAGGAAAAGGAGGTTCCAACTGTCCTTCTTGCACTGGTTATTTCTCAAGAAACTCTAATTAAAAATAATTCATATGCAAAGTGGTATATTTTGGGGTGGCATACTCTGCCCCCCCTCACTAACCAGTTAGTTTACATGTTGACAAATTGCCAAAGTCCCTCTTCTGAATGGTTGGAAATTGGACACCTGTTCCTTTAAGAAACATTTCTTGTTCGAGTGAGTCATCTCTGTCCTCTCACTTTGGGAATCAAATTTATTTTCTAGATCTTTCTGTTGAGGAATTTTCTTCCTTGCTTGCTGAAGACCAGATTCTGCTCTTGTCTCTTGGGATTTTTTTTTTTTTAAGCCCTGCTGAATTCGCTACTAAATTCTGAATGTGGAGAACAAGAAGTGAACCCGCTGAGGGAGGCAGAAAGTGGAGTTATCGAAAGTAAAAGAAAACTTCTTCCTGGAGGTGTTTCTGTCCCCACCCTCCTTCAAGGGACTTCTCTCTGGTTGGGTGGACAGGACTTAAGAGTCTGGGTGAAATTGGGCAGTTCAGGGGTCTTGGCCCCGGGCACTCTGTGATGTCGCTGGGACAGGGTGGAGCAGGTGAGTGCCTGGTGCAGAATGGCTTCTGAATACCATGTTTCCGGGACTCACTCAGTGGGCAGAGTGGGGACACCTCAGGATCCTGCCAGGGCCCCACATCTCTGAGTGGGCTTTCTCTCTGCACCACAGCAGAGGGCCTTGCTACATTTTAACTCTGAGGGATCTCCAATACTCTGCTACATTTCTCTTCTTAGTGCCTCCCCTTCAAATACAGACACAATGTCTCCCTCCCACCCGATCATTTTGGAGATTCCAGCAGACATCCTTTACCTACTTCATTGGTTTTCTTTCCCATTTGGGCAGAGGGTTGAGTTAATCTCTCAGATGCCACCCACCGCCTCATTGGCACTTTCTTCCATCTCCTCCCCCCCCACTTCCTACCCCTCCTCCACTGCTCCCCCCCCCCGCCCGCTGCCTCCCAAAAGACAGCTCTCTAAATCTTTTGATAACTATCCCTGAATTGATCTGTATCTTTGCAAGCAAAATGTATCGTTGTTTTGTGTGAACACACTATTTTTTTAACTATGAGCTGGAACAAGTAAGTAATTTCTCTGTGCTTCTGTTTCCTCAGCATCATATGGGATTCGTACTACCTCATGAGGCGGTCCTGAGGATTTAATGAGATAATATACGTTAACCACTTGCAACAGTGACTGGCGCTGCTAAATTCTCAGTAAGTACTTGCAATTATTACTATTTATTAGTATTATTTGGATTGTATTTTGCTCATTCTGCTTCTTTTTTTTTAAGGGAGCACTCTGGCACTTGAAGTTCTATGTTTTGCCAGGTCCCACTTTCTAAGCCCTATGGGGTATTACATGCTGGACAGTCTTCACAATCCTCTATAAGGACGACATAACTTGCCCACCAATCCTTGGTCTGATCCCACTTGCAAACCTTGACCAATCTGTTGGGTAGAAAGTGGGTATCATGTTGCTTTATTTTGCATTTCTCAGATTATTAAAGTGTCTGAGCATCACCTCGGACACTTTGGCTTTGTAAGCAAGTCCCTGTCAAGGAACTCCATGTTCAGACCCATTGTCTCTTTACAGGCTTTCTTCTTCTTGTCGATTTGTAGGAACTGTTTGGAGGTCATAGATAATTGCTCCTCCCGTGGTAGGTTCTGGGAACACAGACATGAAAGATGTGCTCCTGCCCTTGTGAAGCTCCAGCCCAGCACAGGAACCGGTCACAAAACAGTGGAATGAATGCTTGGGGTGATGCTCAGGAAGAACATCAGGGAATCCCTCCTGGGTTAGGATTTAACTCCTTGTGTTGCTGTGTTCTCACTCAGACTTGATGGGCAGAATGAAGTGGGAGTGAAGGGCATCGATAGTACTTTACCTGGCCCTCTACAGGTGAAGAGGCACTTCCAGACACCTCCTTTAATGCTCTCAGCTCTAGGTGGGTCTCAGCCTCCTGAGAGCTTATATTCTATTTGGGGAAAGAAAAAAGACAATTTCAAAGAAGAGCAGTGTTTGATTTTTTTTCTTTCTACTTAGAACATCAGAAAACATTTCAGTTGATTCACAGCAAAAAGGCTGGGCTAAGTGTGTTTTGTGCAGTTATGTCTCCAGGGCCCAGACCATGCTGAGGACCCTAGGATTTGTTTGTCTCTTTGGTAAGGTCATCTGGGCCTTTCAGGAGAAAGGGCTTTGATTCTAGAGTTTTCCAGGCTGCTGAGGGTAGGACATGGTGGGCTCAGGGCCACCATATTCTAGTGTAGATGGGAAACCATGAGAGTTAGCTTAGCAGACCCTCTGAGAGCCATGATGAGGACCCCACAGTTTTCAGATCTCTCAGAAGTGCTCAATCAATATTACTGAATGAAAACATTCAAGTCTTCATAATGAACCCAGAAAAATCTGTAAATTTCTGAAATACGGAATGAAGAGGCTCTTAATTACCATCCAGTCCAACTTCCTCATTTTGGAATGTGGTAAAAGAGGCCCCAAAGGCAAAATGACCCATCCAAAGTCACACAGCCAGAGCCAAAGCTCAGGTGGCCCAGTCCCCCCGCCCCGCCCCCCGCCCCGAACACCGTGTCCCCTGTTCCTCTGGATTCTTGCATTCTGGGAAGAGGTGGCTGCCCAGGCGCAAGCCGGCCTTACTCAGCCTAAATGAGTCAGTGGTTTCGTAAACAGGAAGTAGAGCGAGCGGTGCCTATTCTTCCTCAGCCCTTCACTCTTGTTTCAGTCGTGGCCCTTCTCTCTTGTTTTAGTCGCTTCAGGAGAAAACAGGCCTGTGAAGAAGCTGCTGCCACTGTGAGGGTCCCAGGATTGGCTTCTTTGGTAAGGTTGGTTGGGCCTCCTGGGAGAAAGACCTTTGATTCTAGAATTTTCTAGGCTGCTGAGGGTGGGAAAACCGTAAGAATTAGTAGGCCCTCTGAGAGCCATGGCGAGAGCCCCATAGATTCCAGAGCTTAAGGCCCTCTCCAGCTTAGGTGAGGTTTTTCTGGAATGCTCCGAGTATGACTGTTTGTACAGAGACCTTATCCTTAATTGAATCGTGGCCTAAGCAGGGGTAGAGTTGGGACTCTGGAAGGCGGTGACACCATCTAAATCTGGGCTCCGGCACATACCACTCTGATTCGTCAGGTTCTGTGGGGTCACTCTCTCTGCCGTAGTGGATTTATTAAGAATTCCTGGTTTTGTGTTTTGGGAGTATTTTTGTCTTTCAAAAATTTTTTTATATTTTAATCTTTGAAAATATTATGATTACATGTCCTTTTTTTTTGGTTAAATTCGTTCGCTGGCTTCCAGCTGCAAGCAGAATAAAATCTAAATCTTTGCAGGGCCTGTCGTTGAAACCCTCTAGGGAGATGCTCAAATCCGAGCCTGACGCCTCTCCTGCGAGCTTATTTCTAAACTGATTTTTCACAATGGTAACATGAAGACGATAATACCAATTTCTTCAGAGACTGGTAGTAAAATAAGTCAAAAAGATATTTTTACGTTTACATAGATATAAACACCTGTATATCATAATACAAACATTTATTTACATCAAATACTTTGGGGCATAAATTTATTATTAAAAATATTAAAGATACTTATTGTATAGTACAAATCTATTTATATAGAGTTATGATTTAACAGATATCATATAACTGAAAGTAAAACAAAACTTCCTGGCGGTATCGCATCCCCATCTCTTTCTTCTGCCTTGTATGCATTATATATGAAAATATTCAAATTTATATCTTTTATGTATGTATATGAACACATTATATATATGTATTTACACACACACGCACGCGAATATAAGTGGAAGGAAACCACTAAGTGTAACAAAAGAGTTACTTCTAAATGATGAGTTTCTAAGTGATTTTTCTTTTTCTTTTTATACATTGCTGTACTTTCTCTAAGGAATAAGTGTGACTTTCACTATTTTAGGATCAGAAAAATACAACAATAAATGCTCTTTTATTTATTTTTTAAGATTTTATTTATTTATTTGAGAGAGAGACACAGTAAGAGAGGGAACACAAGCAGGGGGAGTGGGAGAGGGAGAAGCAGGCTTCCCGCGGAGCAGGGAGCCCGATGCGGGGCTCGATCCCAGGACCCTGGGATCATGATCTGAGCCGAAGGCAGACGCTTAACGACTGAGCCACCCAGGCGCCCCAATAAATGCTCTTTTAAAAATATTACTGTAACAAAGTTTCTAGCCCATGATCTTATGCAGTAAACCTCGGTGCCATAAAACAAGAACCATCCTACGGTCCGTGTACCCATGGATCTCAGTGCCCAGAGGTGGCCCTTTGTCAAAGGTATAAAATTCTGTTGCAGCTAATTGCTTTCCAGGCACTATGACTAGAGAGGTGTGTGACGTAAACAAACCAAGACTGAATATTATGTCATAGTGTGTCCTGTAAAACCTGGACCAGAAAGAGGCCTTGCCAACATTTTCCCTACTAACTCTCCATTTTCATGTGATGCAGAAGTCATTTAGAAAGCATTTTCTAATTACTGCAAAGATAATAAAATGAATGAGATGAGGCAGCTACAGAGGACAGGAGCCAAGTGCCAATCATGTTATAACCAAACTCATATCATCCTGGCCTTGGATTATATTATTATTGTTGTTGTTATTATTATTATTATTATTATATACTGTCAGAAAATGCTATTAAATATGTAACAAAAGACTTAAAGAAGGTTTATTCCTTTGGGCTCAGTAATTACTACTTCTAGGAAATTATTCTAAGAAAATAATCAGAGGTGTACAGGGAGATTTACATCTTAAGATCTTATTCTAAATATAAGCAGAAACTGGTTACATACATTATGGTCCGATCCTATGATTTCATACTTTACAAATTTTAAAATCTGTGCTGTAGAAGAAAAAAGTGATGGTATCAAGATGTACTTACAATATTACCAGTGAAAATTCCACTTATACCTCAGAAATGTGGTATGATACAATATGAGGGGAAAAAAAAATATATATATATATAAAATGCTTGGTAGGAAAGATAGTAAAATATTATTAGGTGATTATCTTTGGATGGGAGAATTATAGGTAATTTTTATTTTCCTTTTTATCTTTTCTGTACTTTCTAAAATGAATACAATAAGCGTTGTTATCAGAAAAAAATATCGAGGGAAAAAGATTCCGCTTTCGTTTGATAATCATTTAATTCTGTAAAAGGAGATTTTAACAGAGATTAGAACTGATTTAAAAATTTAAGGACATTGGAGCTAATGGTGCTAAACAGGGCTGGGCCTAGTTTAGATCCTTTCCTCCTTATGAATGAAAATGGGTCTTTAAGTAATGATTTTTGGGGCGCCTGTGTGGCTCAGTTGGTTAAGCATCTGCCTTCGGCTCAGGTCATGGTCCCAGGCTCCTGGGATCGAGCCCCGCATCGGGCCCCCTGCTAGGTGGGGAGCCTGCTTCTCCCTCTGCCTCTCCCACTGCTTGTGCTCTCCTGCTCTCTGTCTTTGTCAAATAAATGAATGGAATCTTTGGAAAAAAAAAAAAAAAAGTAGTGATTTTCATCTACATATAAGTCCACGTAGAATAAGTAATACATGCACCTCCTAAAAATTTAAGCGGCAAGCCTGACTTCTCTGCCGCCCCGGCGTCCACTCCATCACCGGGCTTCTAGTTCCTCTCCTCCCACGCAATCACTGAAACAGCTTCCTGTGTGTTGGTTCTGTTCAAAGATCTTCTGTAAATACACAAATCCACGCACCACTTCACAAGGCCTTGTATAGATCACACAAATCCAACCATGGTGGTCTTCCTATTCTTTTTAAATATCTGAGTAAGGTTTCATTGAACTTCTGATACCGATAAGGAGTGGTTTCTGCCCCTTTGTTCTGTCGAGCAACACTGCCATGAGCAGCCCTGTACCTGTTTTTAAGTACAGCACGTTTAAGCTAATGTTGGAGAAACTCGTGGAAGTTAAATTGTGGGGTCATTTTATATTTTGACCGATAGGGGCCAAATTACCCACCTACCTATTTTTTTTCCCACCATCTCAAAACACTAGGTATTGCAAGTTTTGTGCTTCACCAATTTGGTAGTTGAAAAATGGTCTTTTGTAATTTCAGTTTGCCTTTTTTTTTTTTTTTTTTTTTTTGGTGAATGAAGTTGAACATCTTTTCAAATGTTTAAAACCATTGGTTTTAAAAAATAAAGCCACTGGTACTTTTCTCTGAACTGTGTACTTACGATGTTTACCTGTTTATGCATTGGATCGTTGGTCTTTATCCTTCTTTTAAAAAAATGACTTTAAGAAAATCAGTCCTTTTTCCCCCAAGTGCAAGATTTATTTATTTTTAAATTTTGTCTGGCTTATTTTGGCAGATTATTTTAGTTATTATTTAAGGACATTTATCAACCTTTCTGTAATGGCTTCCAGGTTTTCTGTTGTACTTAGAAAGATTCTTTACCACTGCATGATTATTTTAAACAATTCTCCAATGTTTCTTTCCTTAGTATTTTAATTTTCAGGTTTGAGGCTTTGATCCATCTGCAGCTTATTTTAATGTGAAGAATTCAGTTATGATCCATTTCAGTTTGTTCTAGAAGTCTGCCTAATTGTTCTAACAGCACATGTGGAAAAAGCCACCTCAATGTCGATAGCCCTTTTTGTAGGTGTGTTCAGTTTGGTTATTTTTCATTGTTAACTTCTAATTAACATGTTAATTTCTAATTTCATCGTTAACTTCTAAAAGAGAATGTGGACTGTACTATTTGTGCTCTTTGGGAATCTCGTATTAAGATTTTCTTTGTGGACAATTTTTGTGACTATTTGGTATGTGTTTGAAAGGACGTGTATTTGCTACTGGGAGGAAACAGAGTTTTCACTTGGGCCACTTCAATCTTCCAGTCTCTTCTACTAGATTTCTATTTTCGAGAATGGTGTGTGGAAGTTTCCTGCTATTTTGGGGGCAAATAGGTTCTCTGAGTTCTCTTAAGTTCTTTTTTAAAGTTTAAGTTCATCTAATACTTTCTTTTCTTTTAAGAACACAAATGTAAGGGCACCTGGGGAGCTCAGTCGGTTAAGTGACCGACTCTTGATACCAGCTCAGGTCTCGATCTCAGGGTCGTGAGTTTAAGGCCCCCCTTGGGCTACATGCTGGGTGCTGGATGTGGAGCCTACTTAAAAAACAAAATGAAACAGGAGCGCCTGGGTGGCTCAGTCATTAAGTGTCTGCCTTTGGCTCAGGTCATGATCCCGGGATCCTGGGATCAAGCCCCACATCGAGCTCCCTGCTCGGTGGGAAGCCTGCTTCTCCCTCTCCCACTCCCCCTGCTTGTATTCCTGCTCTCGCTATCTCTGTCTCTGTCAAATAAATAAAATCTTAAATAAATAAATAAATAAATAAATAAATAAATAAATAAATAAATAAAATAAAAAAAAATGAAATGAAACAAAACAAAACACAAATGTGGTTGTGTTGCTTGCTCCTCTGATCTGGTCTCCTTTCCTGGTTAATGTGCCCATGGTATGTCATTTCCTGTTCCAAAGATTGTCATTTCTTGCCTCCTCCTTCATTCACTCTCTTACATAACCTTAAGCCCAAGAACACACTCAAGTATTTTAACAGTAGTTTCATTTACCTGAGAATATGTGCATACATTCTTCTTACCATATTACAGGAAAAGAGCAATTCTCTTTCCTCACTCCTTCACCCCCAAATTCTAGTTTTCTCCTTCATTCCCCAGAAGAAACTTTTGAATTTGTTAAGTCTCTTCCCAGAACCCTGTTACCTTTTTATTTTCTGCTTTTGCATATGTATCTGTAACCACTGAAAATCTCATTGTATTGCTTTGAGTATTTTTTAAAAAGTAGATGTATTTTTTTTATATTGCAACTGCTTTTTCTATGTTTTTTTTACTGTCATAATAACATGACTTGGATAGATATCTTTTATTTCAGAAGATGGAGGGCATTTTCTTAACTGCTGCACAATATTCTGTAGTGTGACTATACCTTAGTTTATTTAGCCATTTCTATGTTGATGGACATTAGGGATGTTTCCAGTTGTTCAGGGTTACACATTGTGTTGTGGTGACAGTCCGTGCACATATCCTGTTGAGTACACGTGTGTTTCTTTTTTTTTTTTTTCTTTTCTTTCTATGGAACACTACATCAAAAACTAAACACGTGTGTTTCTAGGGAGTGTGATTTAGGGAATGAACTTGCTAGTTTGTCCCCTTATAGGTCCAGTAGGTTTTGTTTGCTACATTTTGAACATATGCTGTTAGGTGCTAGCCACATATTTAAGATGTCTTTTCTAAATAAAAGTATTTTCGTGATAATTGATTGCTTTGTGAAAGATTTAGGCTCTGCAGGCTTTGGGAATCCAGTGCAAAGTGTATCTGTCCAAAACACTTTCTTCTAGTTTCCAGAGTCAAGAAAACTTGTCTAAATAATGATGTAAATTCTAGATTAAAAGGGAGAAAAAGGGTTTTGTCCCATAATTCCAATTCTAAGAGAGAAATAATCAGAGATATGCACAGGATATGTGAAAAAGCTTTGCAATACAATATTATTTTTAAGAGTAAAGAAATTGAAAATTCCTTAAACTAAATTTTGCTATATCTGCATGCTGGAGATCAAGAAACATTAAAAATATGCCAAAGAAGAATATTTAATGGTGGGGTAAATATTCATTCTAAATATTAAGTGGGGGAAAAAAATAGGTGTATACACCTGGATAAGCAGCCTGATTCTGATTTTTATATAAATGTATCTTTGCGTGTATGTCTGATGTATGATATCTTGTGTGCATGTGTGTGTGTGTGTATGATAATGATAACTGACCATTTTATAATTTACTATATTCTCAATTTTCACGCACACAAAAAATACTGCTTCTACAATCAGAGTGGGTGCGGGGAGAGGGAAGGTGTTTTTAAAGGAAAAACTAAAAATTTCCTAGTCTTTCACAGTACTTTATAAAAAGATTAAAACTTAACCTTATTGTGCAAATAAAAAATATTTCTATTTTAATTAATTAATTAATTAATTTTTAGAGAGTGGGAGTTGGGAGGAGCAGAGGGAGAGGGAAAGAGAGAATCTTTTTTTTTTTTTTAAGATTTTATTTATTTATTTGAGAGAGAGAGACTGAGAGAGAGAGCACATGAGAGGGGGGAGGGTCAGAGGGAGAAGCAGACTCTCTGCCGAGCAGGGAGCCCGATGCAGGACTCGATCCAGGGACTCCAGGATCATGACCTGAGCCGAAGGCAGTCGCTTAACCAACTGAGCCACCCAGGCGCCCGGGAAAGAGAGAATCTTAAGCAGGCTCCATGCCCAGTGCAGAGTCCTATGAAGGGCTCGATCTCATGACCCTGAGATCATGACCTGAGCCGAAATCAAGAGTCAAATGCTTAACCCACTGAGCCACCCAGGAGCCCCCAAAATACTTCTATTTTAACATCAGATATAGAAAATACATGGGTCCTGGTTCACTTGATCATTATTTCAAGTGATAGAATCAGGATTTGTGTTTTCATCCAAGAATGTTAGTGCAGGGAGCTTAAGGACCCAGGAACTCATCCACTTTGCTTCTGGGAGGAAAGAGGTACAAACAGGTTAAGGTCATTTGAGGTTAAGGAAAGTGCCCAGGAGCACAGAGTCTGTGGGATCAAGGAAATGGTGGAGGTGGACAGGAAGTTAAAGGTTTTCTAGTTCAAGTTTCTCAAACTGCAGCCCTCCGGGACCACCTCCTAAGGTATGGGAGCATCTGAGTAAGGAGTCAACCAAGAGTTCTTCAACTTTACAGAGTTTGAAAAACACTACTTCCCAACGAGTTTTCCACTGGGGAAACGGGAAAGCAGGAGGGTGAGGAAAGTACTCAAGTGCCCAGTTCCTGTTGGGTCCCCACAGCTAGGATCTGTTTCCTTCTTTTGGGTTAACCCTCATTTGTTCATTAATTGCTGACCATCACTGCACATGCCTTACAGGACTTAGTCAAACACTTTAGGGGGTGGGTGTTCTGATCCCCATGTTACAGAGGGAGCACCTAACTCTCAGAGGACCTGAGCTGCCTAGGTCTGGGGCCAGTGCCCCAGACAGCTTCTATCTAAGTTTTGTCAGACCCTAACGCCCCCTACTCTGAACCACTGCACTTTCCCCCTCCCCGACAGTCAGCTGCAGGTGGCTTCCTGCCACTTCCTGCCCTTTATGATGATACTGCGGCCGTCTTATGAGCTGGGTCCCACACCTGCTCCTCTGAAGAATCCAGTACAAACCCTGCTCTGAGGGCTTGTTTTATCACCAACATGGGCCTATCAGAGCAGGGAGGAGGAGGGGTGACTCAGGGGCTCACAGGAGGAGGACCCCCAGATTCTGGGCTGTTTGCGTGAAGGTTGTCCGGGATTTCCACAAACACTGCCCTCTCCTTTTCTATCTGCTCAAACGTGTGTGTGTGTGAAAATATCACGTCATCTGATTTGGAGACTGTTTGAAATGGAGGCTGACAAAGTTGACCTGGTTTCATTTCTGCATTGGAAGGCTGACAAAGTTGACTTGGTTTCATTTCCAGCTGTGGGTCCTTGGTCGGTTGTGGGGGCCGGTCCCGAGGCCTTTGGGGGACGGCACTGCATCATGTTTTCCTAGCACCATTGTTTCAGTCAGAAGCCATCACTTCTCCAGCCTCCAGCCCTTCCAGTCTATCCTCCACACTTTTTTTTTTTTTTGATTTGATTTATTTGAGAAAGAGAGCGTGAGAGAGTGCATGAGTAGGGAGAGGGGCAGAAGGAGAAGCAGACTCCCCGAAGAGCAGGAAACCCGACCAGGACCCTGAGATCGTGACTTGAGCCAACGGCAGATGCTTAACCCACTGAGCCACCCAGGCGCCCCTACCTGCCACACTTGAAATGTTAATCCCAAACTGGATGACATTACAGTCCTTTCTTAGTTCCCCATCACCTCTGGGACAAAACCTGAGCCCTTTCCCCCACAGTACGAGGCCCTTTGTAATGGTTCCAGGCCATGGCTTCATCCCTTTTCCCACCATTCCTCCTCCCAGACACTTCGTGGTTACTTTTTTGAGCTCCTTGTGGTTGCTTGAATTGACTTGAACATTCTCGCCTCCATCTTTTGCATAAATTATTTCCTGCAAGAATTGTCCTTTCCCACCTTCTTCCCTCCAGGAAGCCCTTCTCCCTGGTTGCGTTAGGGTTCCTTTCTCTATATTCCTATGGTGCCCTGGTCACAACTCTCTGACTATTGGCTAATTTGTGTATCTACCTTCCAAAATAGTGAGCTAGTTGAGAGCAGAAACGTGTCCTGTTTGTTTTTTTCTTCCCTGTGTCCTCAGTAAAATGTCTAGAGTATAGTAGATAACAGCACTTAATGACGGAACTGGTAAATGGTACTTCTCCTCCTCATCTGAACATAATATTGTATTTTGACCTAGGCTACGACGACACTCTCCTGATACTTGACCAACATGAATTTCAGCAAATGCCTCTATAATATTGGAGAGCAGCTGGACAGTGATGAGCTGGCCTCCCTCAAATTCCTTAGCATGGACTACATCCCACAGAAAAAGCAGGAACCCATCAAGGATCCCTTGATGTTATTCCAGAGACTCCAGGAAAAGAGAATGTTGGAGGAAAGCAACCTGTCCTTCTTGAAGGAGCTGCTTTTCCGAATCAATAGACTGGATCTGCTGGTCACCTACCTGGACACCAGCAAAGAGGAGATGGAGCAGGAACTTCAGATACCAGGCAGAGCCCAGATCTCTGCCTACAGGTGGGGACAGCCTCCACAGTGCGGGCATTGGGAGGTGCGGGTGCAATGGACACATCTTCGTGGGTAGGGCTGATTGTGAGTGTCTATGTCGTATGACTTTGGAAGTTCCTCGAAGATGTCCCACCAGGGCCAGATTAAGGAATTTAGAGATCTTATATATAATTCAGAAAAAAAGTTAAACCATAAAATAAAAAATTTGTTTCCAAAGTGAAATAGGACCTGTAGGTATGCTGATATTAAAACAGCCATCTTCTGAATTGTCTCTCTCCCTGTTCTGTCTCCTCTTCTGTTTGCGTCTGCTCTGTTGATGTCCACGTCCTGTGCTTACTTTGCCCATTATTGGATAAAGCATCCCTGCTGCTTCTCCGAAATCCCCCTCCCACCTGCATGTGGTTGACTGTGGACGTTCTCAGTGGGGTTCTAGGCTTTTACTCCACCCTGAAAGACTTGCTTCATAAGGTTCTCCAATGGGGGCTGTGTGCTGCCCGTCGTGCTGGACCGGCCAGGCTGGGCCCCACAAAGACTGCCGAGCCCCTGTGTGGACAGTGGCAACCTCAGTCGTCTGTCCAGCCTCTGCCTTGCAGCTGGGCCTCTCCCTGCCTGTGGGGCAGCGGGACCCAGGGCTGATAACAAGCCATGTTCTCTTATGTCTTCATGAGTCGGTAACAGACTTTTGTGTGTGTGTGTGTGTGCAAAATGGTGATTTTATTAAAACACGGGCAGAAAGAGCAGCACCGGGGTTGTGAGGGGTGACTGATTATATAGGTAACAGACTTTAAAAACAGGCACACAGGGCGCCTGGGTGGCTCAGTTGGTTAAGCGACTGCCTTCGGCTCAGGTCATGATCCTGGAGTCCCTGGATCGAGTCCCGCATCGGGCTCCCTGCTCGGCAGGGAGTCTGCTTCTCCCTCTGACCCTCCCGACCCTCCCCCCTCTCATGCTCTCTCTCTGTCTCTCTGTCTCAAATAAATAAATAAAATCTTTAAAAAATAAGAAAATAAAATAAAATAAAAACAGGCACACATTACCAACTTCTGTCTTTCAACATGCCCTATTACCAGATGCTCCTCAGCGTTATTTTTAGCTTCCCTTCTGAAAACTTCTACTCCAGCCTTAGCTGTGATGCATTTCACGGCCTCTTCTCTCTTGTTAGTAATGATGGCGAGTGTGATGGTACGTTCTCACTATCCCCTACTAGCCTGGCCTATTTATGAATGCCCTGGTCCTCAGTCTCAGAGACCTGAGATTCTGGCATGTTCCCTACCATATCTTTCTCTGCTCGAAGCTTGAGCATTTTGATAAGTGACAAAAGAGATACGCTGGGTGTATGAGTTTCCGAAGGCTGCTGTGGAAGTCCCACAAACTGGGTGGCTTACCACAGTAAAGACATTCATACTCTCACAGTTCTGGGGGCTAGAAGTTTGAAATGAAGGTGTCAACAGGGTTGGTTCCTTTGGAGCTCTGAGGGAGAGTCTGTTTCATGTTCCTTCCTCCCCTAGCTTCAGGTGTTTGCAGGCAATCCTTGGTCTTCCTCATCTTTTCGATGCATCACTCCAATCTCCTCTCTGTGCCTGTTTTTCTGAATTTCCTCTTCTTGGAAAGCCACCAGTTGTTGGACTAGGGCCAACCCTGATCTAGTGTGACCTTATCTTAACAAGATTATATCATCAAAGGTCCTTTTCCCAAATAAAGTCACATTCATCCATCCAGGGTGGACATGAATTGGGGAGGAGAGTCCGGGAGGACATCATTCAATACTGGGTAACTTTGTTTTAATGGGACTGTGACATCTTCCTAATGATTTTTTTTTCATTAAGGCAGCAATTAATCTTAAAAAAACAACAACCCTAGAACCAGGAGGGTCTTATCTTGTGCCCACCATCTTGGTCTTCTGAAGGTTGCTCTCCTTCTGTCATGTAAGCAAGGCTAAGGCAAATTGTCAATGTCAGACAGTGACCTGTACTTCTCTGGTGGAAGGCTGAGTCCCAGACAAGGGAGGATCTGTCTGTCAAATCTTTTTTTTTTTTTTTTAAGATTTTATTTATTTATTTGTCAGAGAGAGAGAGAGAGTGAGAACACAAGAAGGAGAAACAGCAGGGAGAGGGAGAAGCAGGCTCCCCGCTGAGCAGGGAGCCCGATGCGGGGCTCGATCCCAGGACCCCCGAGATCATGACCTGAGCCAAAGGCAGCTGCCTAACCGACTGAGCCACCGAGGCATCCCTGTCTGTTAAATCTTTAACATGTTAGCTTGGGAACAAAAGGGTCAGCACAAATACAATCTACTGTTCATCATTGTTGGATATTAGCCAGGAAATAAAAAGTATGCTAGAGTGGCCACTTTCCATTTACGAGAAAGCACTAGACATTTTTATTTTCAAATTATAATTGCTGCCTATAAAATCAGTATCTTATAAACTACCCAGGTTTATTTCTAGACAGTGACGGTACAAGAAAGCCAGTAGATTTTAGTAATGAGGAAAGTAAGAGGGCAAAACACCTTATAAGAAAGATAAAAGGGCCGGTAACTTTTGACTGGACCCAATCTTGGCCAAACTGAGAAAACTTTGGAGAAATACTTCTAGGGTAGAGATTCCAGGAGAGGAAGGATGAAATAGATGACAATCCTGAGAAACTTCTGTTTGTACACTATTTTTATTTTCAGAACTTTAATTTTCTAATTTAATTTGAAGTTAGCATGTTTTTGTGTTATTTTCCTTTACACCACAATGGTGAAAGGTTTGCTGACATATTAAACATTCCTTTGTTCCTTCAACAGACATATCCCAAGAACCTCTCATGGATTAGGAAATAATAATGCCTGTTGTGTATCGAACACTCGATGTATTGCCAAAGATTGGTTTAAGCACTTCAGATAAATTTATTCGTATTATTCTTAATATGTCCCAGTGGTATATTGTATCATGTACAAGTTTACAGATGAGGGGAAAAAGTGTAAAACACGTCTACAGTCACACAGTTCTTAGATGATGGAACCAAAGTTCCAACGCCAGTAGCCCAGGTCCTCTGCACTTAACCTCTGCACCTCATGACCCACTGGGCTTATGGAAACAGAAAGGGCACAGACCTTGCTCTCAGGGGACTCAGAGGGCTTTGTAAGCAGACAATTATAACATGTGTGTAAACTTTCTGGCGATACAAAGGCACAGTGTGGTGAATGCAGCCTTGAGGACACTCAGGCAGTACTTGAGCTGTTAGTGGGTGAATCTGTGTCTGCAGATGGGACAAGGGAATGGGGGTGTGAGCGGCACAGCATACAGGGGTGGGGGCAGGGCAGCTGCGTGTGTTTGGAGAGGAGATGGGGGCAGGGGCTGAGGAGTGGCTAGAGAAGCTGAAGAGGTAGGCTGGGCTCAGTGCACAAAGGTTTGTATTCCAGAACCAAGTGTGGGGCCTTCCTACTGACGTTGATGGCCAGGAGAGCACTAACAAGTTTTAATTTAGGAAGTGATGATCCAGGGCACCTGGGTGGCTCAGTCAGTTAAGTGTCTGCCTTCGGCTCAGGTCATGATCCTGGCGACCTGGGATCAGCCCCGCGTTGGGCTCCTTGCTTAGTGGGGAGCCTGTTTCTCCCTCTCCCTCTGCCTGCAGCTCCCCCTGCTTGTGCACGCACTCTCTCTCAAATAAATAAATAAATCTTTTAAAAAGACCAGGAGGTGATGATCCAGTTTGCATTTTGAAAAGCATAATTTCCACAATAAAAACTTTTTTTTTTCCCCTACTGCAACAAGCTCCTGATTTTATAGTGAAGGACCAAGGAAAAACACAATTCATTTAACTGAAACTAACTGAACGGCATAGTTAGCGGACCTTAACTCTGTTAAGGGTGGAGTAGCTGGGCCTGAGTCAGTAGTCTGTCATGTCACTGCAGCATCCTCTCTGCGAAGATTCAACTCATAAATTATGTCATTAGCTGTCTTTCATTTAAGGGGAGGTGACCGGAATCAAGTTTCCACTGCCACTCCTCTTATCAAATGGGAAATTATTTGAGAAACCATTTCTAAAGTGTCTCCATTTCCCACCACAGGGTCATGCTTTTTCAGATTTCAGAAGATGTAAGCAAATTGGAATTGAGGTCCTTTAAGTTTCTTTTGAGCCAGGAGATCTCCAGATGTAAACTGCATGATGATTTGGTAAGACCTGGTGCTTCACCAAGATTTGGTCCTGAGGTTGAGTTGGCCGGTGGGGATTGCTGCGACTGGAGAGAGGGCTGGTCCAGTAAAAGCAACCTGGACTCTCACTTTTCAACCAGGGGAGAAGAAAAGAGTGGTTGGACAGACAGCAGCGTTGCAGATACGATTCCTTCGTATACTGAGAAGTGCTGCTCACATTGTCAGGAGCATGGCAGGGTCAGTAGGGAGGGGAAGAAGACTGGTTGTGGAGGCACAGCCCGTTGCGGGGCCCCGCAGAGCCAGGCAAGACAGTGGTGAGCTGGAGACATCTCCAGCTTCTGCAGCTTCTGCAACCACCTAGGACCTGGAACTCTGTGCGTGTGCGTGCATGCGTGTGCGTGCGTGCGTGCGGACTCTGTGCGTGCGTGCGTCCGGACCGGACGTGGATCACGTGCCGGAGTCAGTGTCGGGAGAGATGCAGTCCCCAGGGCTGTCACTCTGGGGACCAGGCTACAGTTGTCTCAGCCATGCACCTGGGCTATTTCACAGACGTCCCCTAAAGGTGTCCCCGGTGGTTGCAGCACAGGGCTTGGGGGCTGGGGCCTGGGTGACACCTGATGTCACTTTTCCTCTACCTTCTCATTTCTCTCTTCCTGGGCCAGAAAAGACAAAATTGATTCTCCGGTGCTCTATTGGCTTTATAAGACCAGGATATCCTGTCAGGAGGGTCAGCTTGGGAAGCTAGGGTGGGCCCTCTCTTTGGACAAAGTGGACTTACAAAAAAAAAAGAAAATCTCATCTAAAACCCGGTATGCCTCAATCCAGGCTTCCAACTTTATTTCTCTTCCTTCTAGAACTTGCTTGATATTTTCATAGAGATGGAGAAGAGGGTCATCCTCGGGGAAAGAAATTTGGACACCCTGAAAAGAATCTGTGACCAAATTAACAAGAGCCTGCTGAAGAAAATCACGGATTATGAAGAATTAAGCAGAGGTAGAAATAACTTGACAGCTGTGAATTAGCAAAATGTATTCTTAAATTGACAAATCCCTCTACGTCGAGATTGTTTCTAATCAAATATGTGTTTGTTTTTTAATTCAGAGCAAACAATGAGCCCTCAAAGAAGTCTAGATGAAGTTTCAAATGGTAATTTGCGAAATACGTATTTAAGGCTTATTCAGTTAATTTACTATCAGATACCCCCATTGCCTCCTCTCCCCACAACCTTCTCACACATCCACATCTTAATGGTCTTGCTCTCCTAAAATCAAGAAGGCTCCGTGCCTACTTGTCCCCTTCTTTACACATTGAAAGATACACACCTGCTGTCAAAAGACATAGACCTTGCAGCCCCAGGCTGACAAGTTTAAAATAGGTGAAGAGTCAGTCAGTAAAAAGATTTTTATTCTGTGGACTGCAAGGATATTATGTTCAAGGCAGTCTGTGAGTTTTCATTTTAAAGGGGACCTTATGATATCCTGGGTGCTCTGTGTTTCTTTACCAAAATCCCTTCTCTGCTATGTTTCATTCCAGATATGTCTCAGTTGCTTGTAGGGGAGGAATCCCTGAGGGTACTGCCAATGTCGGACTCTCCAGGAGAACAGGACTATGAATCAGAGGTGTGTAGAAATTTGGACTCCTTTTTCTCTTTAGTTGCTCATTCTAGTTCTTGCATTCCTCAGCTTTTAAGCGCTCAGATAAACTAGTAAGGGGCAGATGCTTACTGGAAATTTGGAGAACTATAGAAAATTTTCAGAAACAGACAAATTTAAAATGTGATTTTTTAAGTTTCAAAAGTAAAAAAAGTGTTAAAATTTTATTTTATTTTTTAGATTTATTTATTTGTTTGAGAGAGTGAGAGAGAGCGAGAGCGCATGTGAGCAGGGGAGGGGCAGAGGAAGAGGGAGAGAGAGAATCCTAAGCAGACTCCTCGCTGAGTGCAGAGGCTGATGTGGGGCTCCATGCGGGACCCAATCCCATGACTTGAGCACAAATCAAGAGTCAGATGTGTAACCAACGGCACCACCCAGGCACCCCTAAAATTTTATTTTAAAACCAAAGACAAAGGCACTGGAATAGTTGGAGGGCCGAGAAAGCAAGAAGCCTCCTGGCAACCCTTTCAGCAGCTGCCTCAGCCGAAGTGGGAGAAGGCTTTGGGAGAAAACTCTAGCAGGCCTGGGAAAAGCAAAGCCTTTTCATTTAGGCTGACATTTCAAAACTGTTTCTCCACGGTGATTTAGGGGTAAGCAGCAAAGGCTCATGATCTAGCCATCTCTATGTTCTCATCTCAATGAGCCAGTGCAAGAATTGCCTTTCTAGATAATCACTTTAGTTTATTAACCTTCAAAGATTCACCAGCCACATTCTGATTCATTAGCCTGTTCACTCCTCTCTGTGATGGGAAGCAGAGGAACCCCTGAATGCTATCAGTCCAGTGGGAGACTTGAAATTAAGCTGAGAGAGACCAGTTACAGGTGGGCTCCTGAGCAAATTACCAGACCTCTCTAGGTCTGAAAACCAAGGATTTGCCAAAGTCATGTGGCACTTTGCAAATAGCAAAGCACTCTACTGAGTGTCGTCCCCACTGAACAGCTAACTGTACTGAGTGCCAGAGAGATTAGGTAACTTGCACAGAGTCTTAAGGTTATTACGTAGTAGAGCCAGGAATTTGAGCCCTTAGCGCAGAGCACTTTTCTCTACCTTGAGGAGCTGCATGGATTTCCCAACAAATGCTGAGTATCTTGGCACAGAAACGGCCCCGGGAAAGTCAGGATGCAGGGCTGTCTCTAACTGATACTGTCAGGTACGAGAGTCTGGATACTGTAACCTGCAACATAGCCAAGACCTGCCTGACTAGTCCGTCTCTCTCCTCCAGGCCCTGTGGTCCTGAGAGCCAAATTAAGTCGTCGGCTTTCAAAGTCCTGGGACCGTGCTATGTCCTGTGTGAAGGGCCGGCCCTCAGCTGTTAGCCCAGAAAAATAGATGAGTTGACTAGATGGCCAACAGAATAACAAGGTGACTGACAGGCAGCCCAAAGACAGCATGAAGACATTCATTCATTCAGCAACTCCTGATTGAGCTCTCACAAATTAATAAATTCTAGTTCCTGCTGCAAATGTTAGCTGCCTTGAGCAGAAACAAGAACATATGAAAATATGTTATGATGACGACAGTATTAATAGATGTGCAAAGTGCTCAAGAGGCCCAAGTACTGGGACCCTGATTTTACATACTAACTGTGGGGCAGAAGTCTGGGGATCCTGCGTCAAGGGAACGGGTGGAAACTGGTTCACCAGAGAAATGACGTCAAGTTGAGGGAGGGCTGGTGAAAGGACCCTTGCATCCCAGTTTGGCTAAGGGGACAGCCCAACTTCTTACTAGGGAGTTGTTTGTTCACATCTCAAGTGTTTGACCCTCAGAGTCAGCTCCTGGGTTGGATTTTTGTCTTCCAGGCATCGGAGAAAGTTTACCGAATGGAAAGCAAACCTCGAGGATATTGTGTGATCTTTAACAATTATGACTTTAGCATAGCACGGAAGGAAGTACCCAAACTTCAGAACATTAAGGATAGGAATGGAACAGACTTGGATGCAGGTACAGTAGAACCCTGAAAAGAAGTGAAATATTTCTAATACCTAAGTTTTTTTATCAAAAGGGGAGAACAAAAATTGTACCAATAGGGCCTCATGTTTCAGGAAAAAAAATGGATAAAACCATATTTCCTTGTGGAAATGAAGAACATTTTTGTATATTTGCTAATTTTCTGCTTTTGTTTTTTTAAATTAATTTTTTAATCAAAGTAATGTATATAAGATAAAATATCAAATCTTACTAAAAGGCTTATAGTAAAAAGCAACAACAATAAGCTTTGCTTTTAATTCAACTTAATGAATAGTGCTTCTGTAGAATGTATTAAGTATTAGGTGAAAACATTGCCTTGGGATCAAGACCACATATTGTAATTATAAAAGTTGGGCAGAGGAAATTGTGAGTCTTTAATAGAAATACCATTGTCAAATATTAAACTAGCCAGAAATTCTTTTGCTCAGCCTCTTTAGGAGGAGCAACTTAAAAGAGAACTTATAAGAACTTACAGGTTAAATGAAAACTTGTGAGAACTTATAATTTAAATGAAAAAATAATTTTCAGTGTGTGAACATAGAAATGGCTCTACTAAAAGTGACAGAAATAATCCAACTCATCCAATATATTTTTGAAAATGGTGTTTATGAGTCATAACATCAGGTAATGCCTTATTTTTTTAACTGAATAAAGTTTAGAAAATTAATGTAGGTTGATTTTAATCATCAAGACTCTGCTAATGGTCTCTTAACACATATTCAAGCAAATCTATTCTAAGATTTCAAAAGCCACAGAGCTTTAAGTCCATTGGCTATATCACTCAACATCATATACCTTGGTCTTGAAGAAGAGAATTCAGGCCTTTGATTTCCATTCATTTACTATCAAAACATTTTTTTTGTAGAGAGAGAGAGAGCACAAGCATGGGGAGGGGCAGAGGGAGAGGAACAGAGAGAATCTTAAGCAGGCTCCACACCCAGTGCGGAGCCCATTGCGGGGCTCCATGTCGTGACCCTGGCATCATGACCTGAGCTGAAATCAAGAGTTGGACATTTATGGGGGCGCCTGGGTGGCTCAGTCATTAAGCGTTTGCCTTCAGCTCAGGTCATGATCCCAGGGTCCTGGGTTCGAGCCCTGCATCGGGTTCCCTGCTCAGCGGGAAGCCTGCCTCTCCCTCTCCTACTCCCCCTGCTTGTGTTCCCTCTCTCACTGTGTCTCTGTCAAATAAATAAATAAAATCTTAAAAAAAAAAGAGTTGAACATTTAACTGACCGAACCACCCAAGTGCCCCACTATCAAAACATTTTTATTAAAATAATATTTGATTGAATTTCTGTCCTTTGGTCAAAGGGTAGGTACAAAGTTGCAGATTTGTAACTTATTTAGAGATCTAATGAATGACATAATGACTATAGTTAATAATACTGTATTGAATACTAGAAATATGCTAAGAGAGTGTATTGCAGGTGCTCTCATCACACATACACACACACAAAAGGAATTAAGTATGTGAGGAGATATATTATTAGCTTGACTGTGATAATTACTTCACTGTATATATAATCAGTTTTATGCCTTAAGTATATACAATTTTTAGTTAAAAAAAAATCAGGCACCCTGAAAATGTTGAAAGACTGACTAGATCTTAGAGAACTTGGACAAAAAATAAGGTTATGCATATGGAAAACAAAGCAATGAAAAAATAATGCAATTACTAATTCCAGGAAAGACAAAAAATTTAATAAAAAAGGAAACATAATTAAAGAATATTGTTTACATAGTACTATTGATTCGATTAAAAGTTGTAAATAACTGTATAAGAGCATCAAATGCTCATCCTCCATAATAAGAGCTCAATACAAAGTCTAAAATTTATAAGTAAATAAATAGCAAAGAGGTCAAATTCATTACAAAATGGAGGTGAATACCAAAAAATAGTTGTAAAAAGTTGAAAGTGGTTGCCTTCATGGAACATGACTGGGTAATAGGGAGAGTTAGAGAAGGGATAGCTTTTTGTAATAGGCCTTTTAGTTCTACTTGATTTTTTAAACATTCATATCTTGTATTTTTCTTAAAAGATTTATTTATTTGAGAGAGCAAGTGTGAGTGGGGGGGGAGGAGAAGAGGGAAAGGGACAAGCAGACTCCATGCTGAGCGTGGAGCCTGACATGGGGCTCAATCTTCACGACTCTGAGATCATGACCTGAGCCAAAATCAAGAGTCAGACACTCAATCGACCGAGCCACCCAGGCGCCCCTCATATTTTGTATTTTGATAAACAAATTTGAGTGTTCAAGATAAAATAAGTATGAAGCTTCTATTAAAATTTTTTTTTGCTTTTTATTTTGATTATGTAAGTAATACAATCATTATTTAGATTGGTTTGGTAGTAAGCCTAAATAATAGCTTACCCATCTTATAGACTAGTTGAGCAGAGACAGAAGGCCAACAATAGCACTCTCCCCTTTCTCATTTGCCTCGGGACTGGAAGTGTTTTCAGCTGGGGGCAATAAATATTAGAAAACTATGTAATTCGGCCAGTGATATAAGGGTCTTGTTCTTCAGTTCTGGTTCAGATTCTTTGTACTCTAGCATCTCTCTCTCTCTCTCTGTCATCTATCTATTTGACAGAGAGAGAGAGAGACAGTGAGAGAGGGAACACAAGCAGGGGGAGTGGGAGAGAGGGAAGCAGGCTTCCCGCTGAGCAGGGAGCCCGATGCGGGGCTCGATCCCAGGAATCCAGGATCATGACCTGAGCAGAAGGCAGACACTTAGCGACGGAGCCACCCAGGCGCCCTCTGGTTCAGATTCTTAATCTGATCAGTGTTCTCTCTAGCTCTGGACTGTGGTTTGGGGCTTATTCTGGTGTAATATGACTTTTCTTGTTTCACTTTTCAGATGCTTTGTGTCAGACCTTTAGTGAGCTTCATTTTGAGATCGTGCCTTTCAGAGACTCTACAGCCATGAAAATCTGTGAGGTTCTGAAATCCTACCAAAGCATGGACCACACTAGCAGGGATTGCTTTATCTGCTGTGTCCTCTCCCATGGAGACAAGGGCATCATCTATGGCTCTGATGGGCGGGAAGTCCCCATCTATGAGCTGACCTCTTACTTCACTGGCTCAAAGTGCCCTTCCCTTGCAGGCAAGCCCAAAATCTTTTTTATTCAGGCTTGTCAAGGGGATAACTACCAGAAAGGTATAGCTGTTGAGACTGACTCCGAACAGAAGGAAGCCTATTTAGAAATGGACTCGTCACGGCAGAAGAGATATATCCCAGAAGATGCTGACTTTCTGCTGGGGATGGCCACTGTGAACAATTGTGTTTCCTACCGAAACCCCATGGAGGGGACCTGGTATATCCAGTCACTTTGCCAGAGCCTAAGAGAAAGATGTCCTAGGTAATTTTTGCCTACTCTGCCCTTCATTCGTTTCTAAATTTCTAGTTATGGATGACATAGCTGTACTTCCCAGGTCAGTTGCAAAGTGGGAGAGGGGGGCAAGCGTTAACATCATTAGTTCATAGAGACACTTACAGCAGAGTTTCTTTTATTTAGTGCCTGAAAGGACAGTCGGGGTATCATAAAGCAGGGAGTGATGGTAAAGTCAGTTCAGCTCTGTTTTTAGGCAGAAACATGACTCAGCCAACTCAACTAGTTTTGGAAGTCTTCCAACAAGGTAATAACCCATTTCAATGGTTAACATCCTCCAGCTCTGTTAAAGTTCTATTATAGCTAATCAACCCTCTTGGTGTGTTGTGGGAGAGAAGTACCAAAGAGTAGAAACCCTTTATATTCCCACTAATTTGGCCTGATGTGAAGCTACAAAATGTGGGAAAATATCCCTCCCTCATTTATTATACCCTATGCCTCCTTTAGTTGAATGATGGTTTTGTAGTCATAGTTCACTCAGATGCACACATAACTGACAGGTGAATAGCGAGAAATCTTCTAGCTCTATATCTCATCATGCTTTAAGTGTATGAAGAGTAAGAATTTCCCATGGCAGATCAAGGAGTGAAACATAACATCAACACCATGTTTTCCTTTTGTAACTTAGACCACGAGTCCTACAGAGGCTGGTGAGAAAGGGGTGGAGTGGTTGCAGGAGGCATTGGGTTTTCCCTTGCCCAAAGTGATTGTAGATGATCACAGAAGCAGAGGATGTTTTTTGGGGGGGGGCACTGAGGTGATTATGGGGGCAAGAGGCATAGTACGTGGAAGAGTAAGGTACAAACAGATCAGGAGGGAAGGAACCCAAATCTGATGTTGACTCTGAGGTTTCTGATGATCAGTAGAGATCTTGAGTAAACCAAAGGTAAGTTATTAAGCTCTGAAACTACTCCTTTTCCTAGAAAGCTTTGACACATCTTAGTTTATCAGCTTATGATTTCAAATGCCTGGCATTTTGAAGGAAGGAACTGTCACTAACTAAGAGCAGATGAAAGGGTTTGCTGGTATTGTTTCCCCACAGATGGTCACAGTGTTGTTGTTTTTCAGGGGTGAAGATATTCTCACCATCCTTACCGAGGTGAACTTTGAAGTGAGCAATAAGGATGACAGAAAAAACATGGGGAAGCAAATGCCACAACCTACTTTCACACTGAGGAAAAAACTCTTCTTCCCTCCTAATTGATGCTACTCTTTAGCTGTATAACACTATGCTTAATTTATTTGTTAGCAGAATGCTGCTATTTGCCTTTTTTTTTTTTTTTTTTCTTTTGGATGGCAGGAAGGGGAGAGAATCGGAGTCAGGACAAACTAATTCCTGTGCAAATTTAAGCCTAAATCTCTGGCTTTGCAGTAATAGCTAGAGATTTATAGCCCTAGGTAGGATTTTAATTTTATTTTTGATTCGATGAAAAAGTTTTTAAAACACTGAGAGTAGATAAGAAAATATAGAAAGTTTAAAAGAAATGTAACATCATAAATTTAGGTTCAAAAACGGTGTCAGAATGAATGTTCTTTGCACATCTCTCATCTGCTTCCAGCCTGGAATAATTTGATTCCCTTCAAATTGTTAAGTATTTAAAAAAAAGTTAAGGATATCATGCGAAGGCTTTAACCTGGAACACAGAGTTAATGGTAGTGCAGAGATTTTTTTTTTTTTAAAGATTTTATTTATTTATTTGAGACAGAGAGAATGAGAGAGAGAGAGCACATGAGAGGGGGGAGGGTCAGAGGGAGAAGCAGGCTCCCTGCCAAGCAGGGAGCCCGATGCGGGACTCGATCCCGGGACTCCAGGATCATGACCTGAGCCGAAAGCAGTCGCTTAACCAACTGAGCCACCCAGGTGCCCCCAGTAGTGCAGAGATTTTATAAGGCATAAGGAGATGGGGAATGAGGAAAGCAGTTTCCCACTTGAGGCCTCAGAATAAGTGAATGTTGTTCAAGTACTGGGAGACAAAGTCAAGAAAACCATAATCCTTCTCCTTTCTGTGAAAGGGCTGATTCCTCATTCCTGGTTCTTATGAGAATTTGTCATATTTACATTCCAACTAACTGGATGTGCTTCTATGGAGCAGAATGTGAGGTAAAATTGTTAAAAGGTACTGTTGGGACTTTTTTTTTCCTTAAGTAAGCTCTATCCACTACCTCCCCCCCGCCCCCCGCTGACCCCCACTACACGACATGGGGCTTGAACTCACAACACCAACGTCAAGAGTCACACGCTCTATGAACTGAGTCAGCCAGGCACCCCTAAAAGGTATTGTTAAAAAGGAGAGAGGGGTACCTGGGTGGCTCAGTCGTTAAGCATCTGCCTTCGGCTCAGGTCATAATCCCAGGGTCCTGGAATTGAGCCCCGCATCGGGCTCCCTGCTCAGTGGGAAGCCTGCTTCTCCCTCTCCCACTCCCCCTGCTTGTGTTCCCTCTCTCACTGTATCTCTCTCTGTCAAATAAGTAAAATCTTAAAAAAAAAGAAAAAAAAGACAGCAGCGGCACCTGGGTGGCTCAGTCTTTAAGCGTCTGCCTTTGGCTCCAGTGTCTGTCATGATCTCAGGGTCCTGGGCTCGAGCCCTGCATCAGGCATCCTGCTCAGCCGGGAGCCTGCTTCTCCCTCTGCCCTTCACCCCACTTGTGTTCTCTCTCTCTCTTTCTGCCAAAATCTTTAAAAAAAGAGAGAGAGAGAGAGAGAGAGACAGCAGCCCCAAATAGAGTCACTTGTGCTAAACCCCATGTCAGCAAACCAAGACTTAATACCTAACCAAAATGCAGTTTTAATTCCCCGGGAATGTAATCTTTAAGCAGGCAACATGGAATTACCTGGTCAGCACTGGTGAAATAATCTGCCTGATAAACTCCTTCCATTCCCCTTAGGAAAGTGACCTAATGCAATTTGATCCAATCTGATCTTTAAATTTACTCAGTTGAATTTCTGTTGTTTAACGGTTTGCAGGGGGATGCCAGTGACCCTCTCTCAAAGGTCACTGAGGGAGATTTTTGTGATCTGACCTAGCTAAAAAAAACCTCATGTGTAATGCTCCTACATCCAACCTGATCTCTTCTGATGTGTGTGACAGGCAATCCCAGAAACACCTGAGCCTCCTCTCCTGAGCTACGAGGAGACCTTGTTTCAGTGGTAAAAGACACCCTAACTCTGTTTAGATTTAGATTTCACAAAACCCAGGAATTAGTTTCCTTGTTCTTATTATTTATAAGTACCATTAAATCCATATTTGAAAAGACTGATGTTAATAACACATTAACATCTTTTTGTAGTTCCAGTCTCTCCCTTTCCAAGCCATCCTCTACACTAATTTGTAAGTTTTTTTAAAAAAATATAAGTTTGAAGCTGTTATTTCTTATGTTAAAATCTTTTAACAGCCTTTTCTCTTATTTGCTTCTATATAATCAATACCTCATTTGCTTTTTTGCTAGTGATACTGTACTCCATTCATGCAGTTGCATTTTGTTTCTTTATGTATTTAGTTCATTCTAAATCTGCATGAATGTCTTTTTTTAAAGCTTTTTTTAAAAGAATATTTTTTCAATAATATATATTTTTAATAATATTTTTAATAGAAAATAGAATTTTAACTTATGTTGTTTGGAGATTGTTTTTATTAGTTTTGTTTTTGTTTTTTTTACCATTAGCATCTCCCAATGTTGGCTCATGCAGTTAATTTTTTTTTTTTTTAAGATTTTATTTATTTATTTGAGAGAGAGAGAATGAGAGACAGAGAGCATGAGAGGGAGGAAGGTCAGAGGGAGAAGCAGACTCCCTGCCGAGCAGGGAGCCCGATGCGGGACTCGATCCCAGGACTCCAGGATCATGACCTGAGCCGAAGGCAGTCACTTAACCAACTGAGCCACCCAGGCGCCTGTCATGCAGTTAATTTTTAAGAAAATTTTTTGCCCATATTTAAGATTGGGACATAGGTAGGATTTTAATTTTATTTTTGATTCAATGAAAAAGTTTTTTAAAAACTTAGAGTAGATAAGAAAATATAGAAAGTTTAAAAGAAATGTAACATCATAAATTTAGTACTGGGGTACCTGGGTGGCTCAGTCGTTAAGGGTCTGCCTTCGGCTCAGGTCATGGTCCCAGGGTCCTGGGATCCAGCCCTGCGTCACATCTCTGCTCCGCGGGAATCCTGCTTCTCCCTCTCCCACTCCCCCCTGCTTGTGTTCCCTCTCTTGCTGTGTCTCGCTCTGTCAAATAAAGAAAATCTTTAAAAAAAAAAAACCCACAGTACTTTCTTTTGAAAAATCAGAATATCTGACCACATTGATCCCATGCTCTTGTGTGGAATGGGTCCACCCCACTCAATCCCCTACATTTAGGCTGATGCCAATGACCATTTATCACCGTGCTTGTTTGTGTGGTTATTTTTCCTTATGTCCAGGCCACTTCACTTACTTATATTGCCTGCACTGTGGGGATTTGAATTCTGGTGATTATTTAGAGAAGGTGGCAAGAATCATCAGAAACTTTCCCCAAATCATAGTTACAGGGAAGATGATTGAGAAGTGGAGCAGTGGGGACACACATAAGAGAAAAGGTTTTTGGAATTGAATCAATAAATTATCATTCTTGCTAGCTAAATGCCCCGGGGGACAAAAGCTAAACTTCAAAGTACAGTCAACATTTAATAGGGAGAAGTTCTTCAGATTAGTGTTTTCATAATGAAATACATAAATGTGGAAGAGAAAATAGTACAATGCCCAGAGAAAGCTCAGATCCAGATACAGAGAACATCACCTTTCATTGAAGAGTCTTGAAAATCTGTATAATTGAGATGAGAATTCAAACATTCCCAACCACTTAGAAGAAAGCAAATTGTGAAAAGACAAAAGTAGAACCAAGGCAACCCAGGAACTAAACTCATAATACACACTTCTCAAGTAAACCTCACCAGAGTTCTCAAAGTCTACAGAGATGGTGTTCCTACCATCTTTTGTACTGGAGAACAACTTTTCTGCTCACAATTCTTGTTTTTCATTGCTGTCATCTTCTAAAGTGTCAGAATCATCCTCATAAATAGAGGTTGACTTCCCAGATCGTTCTTCATAAATTTCTTCATTCTTGGCAATTATTTTTTGCCTATAAAGAAAGAGAAGATGTATCACTATAGACTCAACGGGTAGAAGGGCCTCTACGATATCTGGGGGGAGAGAAATATGGTTTCATTCTTTCACTGGGGGAAGTCGCACACATTACTTGCAGTGGTTTTGAATTTAGTGAGATATGATATTTATGTTACCAAATTCCCAGATGAGGAATATTCTTCTGAGGGGAAACAGAGTATGCCATCCCAAAATACGCTACCTTGCATATTGATTAGTTTGAATTAAAGTTACTTAAGCCAACAGCCAGTACAAGAAAGATACTCTGACCCTCCTTTGTCCCCCTGAAAGCAGGAAATAAAATTACCCGCCCTACACAAGAAGGTAAAGAGACATGCTTCTCACCAGAAACAGGGAATTTAGGGCCAAGGAGGCTGTATAAACAGACCTGTTACTTCCTCACTCATTTACCACCCCGAGCCCAAACTCCTTTGTCTTGTCAATTCTTTACAGATTGTCTTTTTGTCTAAAAGGTATAAAAGCTGCCCACTTTGGTCACTTCTTTGAGTCTCATATTTTTATGTGCTCCTGTACATTCAAAATTTAATTTGTTTTTCTCCTGTTAATCTGTCTCATGTCAATTTAAAGTTAGACCAAACAACCTACAAGGGAAGAAGGGAAAAGCTTTACTCTCCTATACCACCAAATCAATGCAATGAATCACTTGCCTTTATTAAAATATTGACCAAAATTTATCTCAGTGATTTAAAATGCATCTTCAGGTAACAGTATAATTTCTGACCTAAAGTTGATTTCCACAGGAAATAAATGCAGCTGTATCTAAGTGTAAAGCACTGACACCTAAACCCCTAAACTCTCAGGGGACACGGTAAAAACTCGGAGCTCACATGTGTTATGACAGTTTCCAATCATTCATTCAACAAGTATTTATTATATATCTACTATGGATTCCAAGCATATGACATTCTGGAAAAGGCAAGACTACAGAGACACTGAAAAGATCAGTAATTGCCGGGAGTTGGGAGGGGAAGCCAAGCATGAATAGGTGAAGGGCAGAGGACTTTAGGGATTTAAAATATATACACAGAACTGAATAAACTCAGAGACCCTCAGATAAATTTCATGTGCCGTTTTACGTTAAAACTAAGACGTGGGTAAGAGAGAGGAGTCTAGACACATTCCCGACACCACTTCAGATGAAATGTCTGACCTTCGCAGGTGATTTCTGTGGCCTGGCTCTGAGTGAGTATCTCCCTCCTGAAAGTCCCTGTGCCTTCACCTTATCAGGAAATACCTGGGTTCATCTTCATCTATTCCTCACCCAAACTCCCTCCCACTTTCTAAGGATAACTCAGCCATATCTTTTTGAGCAGTGTCCTTCATACCTTAGATGAATGTTTTCTTCTGTCAGAAGCTGTATGGTATATTTAAAATTTTCTTCAGCTTCAGCAAGCTTGATCTGGAACATTTTCTCCAGATTTCCCACAGTAGCTTTCTGAAGGACATATAAATTTTAATACCCATCTTTCCCAAACCAGAGTCACCCAGAGCAGAGCTATATGGTAGAGCTGCCCAGAGACCTGGATTCCTCTGCACAACTCCCATCCCCACTCCAGCCAGGACTTGCCTCTCTCTGAAGTTCCATCTGGGTTTGGTAGAGGGTTGTGTTAAGTGTTTCTAGGATAACAGCTTGTGTATTCAACTCTTCCTCCATGACCTGTGTAAGAAGAAACTGTTTCAGGACAACATGACAATATCTACCCATTTATTCTCTTCTGCAGGGCACCTGGACTAGAAGGTGAAGCATCAACTTTAGCAACTCTTTACACTGTTCAGTCACTTCACCCTGTTAATTCTACCTCTTGTATGTCTTGCCCATCTATACTCCCCTCTGCAGACTCACTATCACTGTCTCAGATCCAGCCCTCACCGGGGCTTGCATGGGTTGTCACAATAGCTACCAATCACTCATTCATTAAACAAATACTTATTATTGGAAAAGGCAAAACTACAGAGACAGTAAAAAGAGGAGTGATTGCCAGGGGCTGGGAAGGGAAGCAAGGGATAAATAGGTGGAGGACAGAGAACATTTAGGCAAAGAAACTACTCTGTATGATATTGCAGTGGTACATGGCATGCTGCATTTGATGCATTCGATAAAACCTATAGAATGTATAACACAAAGGGTGAACCCTAAGGTAAACTATGGACTTTAGTTAAAAGGGATGTATCAATAATGGTTTATCAACTGTAGCAAAAGTACCACACCAATGTAAGACGTTAATAATAGAGAAAACTGTATGTTTGCATTGGGGGAGGATATGAGGAATCCCTGCACTTTCTGCTTAATTTTTCAGTAAACCTAACATTGCTCTAAAAAAAACCCAGTCTTTTAATTAGGAAAAAAAAAAAACCCTCCTGTTGTAGGCACCAGGAGTATTATGATGAACAAGAAAAATATAATTCCTACTCTTATGGATGTACATTCTAGTGAGGGGGATGGAAAAAATTAAATAAAAGTTAATAAAATAATTACAATAATAAATTTAAAACAAACCAAGGATAAGATAGAAGATGCAGTGTAAGTGCAGGGAAGGGACAAATGTGGAATTTACATTAGATAGATGCTGAAGAGACTATAAGAATGAACCAGATGGGTCTCTGCTTTCAGGTGTCAGCTCCGTTTAACTCCTACATGTCCTCAGAGCTCTTCCCATGGGATAAGCATCCTCCCAAGATGTATAGACTAGAGAGGTACCAGCGCTTACTGCAACCACATTGTACAAAGCACTGTACCAACTCACTTAGCATTCTTTTATTCACTTATTCACTCAAAAAATCAATTGGTAGTCACTGAATGTCTTGATGTGCCAGGCATGTTCTAGAAACTGGAGATTAGTGGTAGAGAAAACAGACAAAAATCTCTGCCTTCATTGAGTTTATCAGGTTAGACAATTATAAATCTGTATAGAAAAATAAAACAGGGAAAAGGAAGTGTTGGGTGGGTTGTTAAGCCTTTAAATAGAGTGGCCCCTCAGAAGTGGCATCTAAGCAAAGACCAGAAAGAGGTAAGGAAGTTAGTCATGTGGATATCTGGGAAACAACTTCCTAGGAAGACAGAATGTCAACTGCAAAAACCTCAAAGTAGAGGATCCTGGTGTGTTAAAGAAACAGCAAGGGGTCCAGTGCCACTGGGGTAGCATGATGGAGGAGGGGAAGATGTAGAAGGAGATGAGGATGGGGGAAAGAACCATGAGCATGGAGCAGGTAGAACAATCCTCAGGGTCAACACAGGACTGGGAATAGTTATATTCCCACAAGCCAGAGTACACAGAGTATTGGGTAGACTACTCAAAGGGTATTATCTCTGTGTGTGGGGGGGGATTAGCCTTAGACCAAAGACTGCTTTAATTCTGCCTAACAAAGCTTAAAGGTAAGGCTTGAAAATATCAAACTGTTTCTAAGTAACTTAATGGCATCCCAGAACAAAGTACAACTATATTTAAAGGAATACAAAGATATTCAGCACCCAAAAGGTTGAACTTCACAATGGTGGTTGTCCAATAAAAAATTACCAGGCATGCAAATAAGTGGGAAAATATGGCCACAAATGAGGAGCAAAGTCAATTAATAGAAACAGATCCAGAAAGGAATGGTAGAATTAGAAGACAAGCTCAATAAAGCAGTTATTATAATACACTGGGTCTTCCTTGTTCCTTGTTTTGACCTATCCCTCTACCATGCAGGACACTGAGGTCTGTTTACCGAACAACGATGAAGCCTTGCCTAATCTCTAAGATATCATTCCACGATTTTATAACGGCTAGTCTTTTCCCAAACATGTCCATTCTGGATCCAAGTTAAATTCTCTGTGAAAGAAAACCATGGGTTTGAACAGTTTCCCTTCAGGTGTCTCCCACATGGAAGTGCCATAATTTGTCCCAGAAGAACAGAATTCTTTGAAGAAACTGTTGGACATGAGGCACACTCAGAATCTTAAGGAGAGGCTTGGAGTTAGAGTTCCCAGGGGCAGTATTGTAATTTTTAGAGCTTAAAGGAAGAATTTGGTATTTCAGAAGTCAAGACTCTTGTGGTTTGAGACTTACTAGAAATGGAAGGCATTTGACACTGAAGATCACAAGCATATTGCTTATATATTTCTTCAAATCGCTCTAAAAAGATGCTAAAGGCTTTGTTTTACAGATGACTTTGTATTATAGTTCTAAAGTTCTTTTTGACCTGTTGAATCCAGCAAACTCAGCTTTAGGGCCTCCCCCACCCTTTTTTTTGGTTTTGGAAAATTATCATAGATTCCATTTTTTGGGAGTACATAATTTTATTGATGCATTTGTAAGATGCTAATTCCACAGGAAAAATGAAAAAACTTACCTGTTTGGTCTTTCTTAGCTCCTCTAATTGTAAGGTATCCTTTTCATGTTGTTTCAGTAGCTCCTAAAAATAATTTTATTTGGAAAGGGTCAGCACTGGGGTTTCTAGTACTTCTTTCAGAGAATTAAGAAAGCCAGAATAGGATTCTGGAATATCATATTCACCAAAGTTTAGATATTGGTATAATGAAGCACACATTATAAACTAATGACATGACATGTTGAAGTTAAATTTTGAAAATCTTACTTATGTGCAACCTTGGTAGGGTTACTATTGTTGAATATTGTTAACATTGTTGAATATTCTGTTCTGCCACAGATTGATCTTTATATTCAGTACAATCCCAGTCAGAATACTTTCTTGACAAACTAATTCTGAAATTTATATAGAAATGTAAGTGATATAGAAGAGCCAAAATAACCTTGAAAAACAAGAGCAAAACTGGATTTTTACTCCCTGATTTCAAACTATAGTAACTGAGACAATGGTTGTCTTGACCTAGGTATGGACAAAGAGTTCAATGGAATAGAATGGAACAACTAGATATCTATACAGAAAAAAATGGCCTATGACCTCTACCTCACTCCATACATAAAAATTATTCAAAATGGATCATAGAGGGGTGCCTGGGTGGCTCAGTCGGTTAAGCGTCTGCCTTCGGCTCAGGTTATGATCCCAGGGTCTTGGGATCGAGCTCTGCGTTGGGCTCCTTGCTCAGCAAGGAGCCTGCTTCTCCTCCTCCCTCTACCCCTCCCTCTACTCATGGACACTCTCTCTCTCTCTCAAATAAATAAATAAATAAATAAATAAATAAATAAATAAATAAATAAAATCTTTAAAAACAAAACAAAACAAAATGGATCATAGAATCATAAAAACTAAAATTATAAAGCTTTTTTTTAGAATAGAAGATCTTCAAAAAATATAAAAATAAATAAAATAGAAGATCTTTGTATTCCTGGACTAGGCAACAATTTCATAGAAAGGACACAAAAAGCTGTAACTTTCCTGTAAAAAGGAAAAAATTAATAATTTGGCTTTCATCAAAATAAAAAACTTCTGCACATCAAAAGATAACATGAGCAAAATGAAGAGGCGAACTACAGGCTAGGAGACTGTGTTCGTGACACATGTACCTAACAAGGAACTTGCATCCACGTTACATAAAGTACTCCTACGTATCTATAATAAAAGATAAACAATCTAAGTTTTTTCAAATGGCAAAAGACTTGAACCAGCATCTCACAAAAGAAGACATATAAATTGTCTGATAAGCATATAAAAAATTGCCCAACATAATTAGTCACCAGGGAAACTAAAACTATAATGGAATATCACTTTATACCCATTGGAAGGGTCAAAATAAAAAGGATGCCACTTAAAAAAAAAAAAAAAAAAGGGCGCCTGGGTGGCTCAGTTGGTTAAGCGACTGCCTTCGGCTCAGGTCATGATCCTGGAGTCCCTGGATCGAGTCCCGCATCGGGCTCCCTGCTCGGCGGGGAGCCTGCTTCTGCCTCTGACCCTCCCCCCTCTCATGTGCTCTCTCTCATTCTCTCTCTCTCTCAAATAAATAAATAAAATCTTTAAAAAAAAAAAAAAAAGGATGCCAATACTAGTTGCTGATGATGTGGAGCAACTGGAATTCTCATGTTTAAGGCACAAGAGTAAAATGGCACAGCTACTGTGGAAAGTGCCTTGGCAATTTCTTTTTTTTTTTTTAAAGATTTTATTTATTCATTTGAGACAGATATAGAGAAAGAGAGCATGAGCAGGGGGAGAGGCAGAGGGAGAGGGAGAAGCAGACTCCACGCTGAGCAGGGAGCAGATGGGATGTGGGGCTCAATCCCAGGACTCTGGGATCATGACCTGAGCTGAAGGCAGATGCTTAACCATCTGAGCCACCCAGGTGCCCTGGCTTGGCAATTTCTTATAAAGTTAAACTATAACTACCCTAGAAACCAATAATAACACTGCTAGGTATACACCCAAAGGAAATGAAAAATTGTGTCCACAGAAATACTTGTACAAGGGTGTTTACAAAACCTTTATAAAATAGGGAGGACAACAAATGGAAACAACCTAAACCTCCAAAAACAGGAAAATGGTAAACACATTGTGGGATATTCCTACAAAGGGATGCTAATGGGCAATAAAAAGTAATAAATTACTGATATAAACAACAAATGGATAAATTTCACAGACATTGTGTTGAGGAAAAAGAAGCTGTATACAAAAGAGCATATACTGCATGATTCCATTTATATGAAGCTTAAAAACAGGTAAAACTAATCTGTGGTGGGGGGCGCCTGGGTGGCTGAGTCGTTAAGCGTCTGCCTTCCGCTCAGGTCATGATCCCAGGGTCCTGGGATGGAGCCCCGCATCGGGCTCCTGCTTGTCTGGGAAGCCTGCTTCTCCCTCTGCCACTCCCCCTGCTCGTGTTCCCTCTCTCGCTGTCTCTCTCTCTCTGTCAAATAAACAAATAAAATCTTAAAAAAAACCCAAAACTAATCTATGGTGGTAGGAATCAAAATAGTGGCTGTCTTGGGGCAAGTTTTGAGGGAGAGAGGGTTTAACTGGGAAGGAATACAGGAGTGATTTCTGGGTTGATAAAATGCTCTAGATCTTTACTTGGGTTTTACTTACATGGATACGTACATTTGTCAAAACTCATCAAACTGTATACTTACGATCTGTGTGCATTTTCTTAATTGTAAACTATGCTTTCATGAGAAAGAGAGTGAGACACAGAGCAGCATTTACAGATTTATAGTCAGCGTCGCCGGAGAGAAAATAGGAGAGAGGAAAGGATGCATGCGGATGATCAAATCTCTCCCCATTAGAGGAATTGCTCCTTCTTATTCAGATGTCTGAGCCCTCCAGACCCCAGAAGCGCTAGCCACACTGCATACATGCCCCATATCCTCATTACTGTCTTGCTCAGTTATAGTGAATGCCAGAAATGGGATTTGATTGGTGAAATTAGTGGTCTTTTAATTAGCATGATTGATTGGAAATGGGCTCTTAAAAATGGAATATTCAAGGTAGACAGTATTTTAGAGGCACAGTCCACTTTGCAGGAAAAGAGTACAGGAATCTAACAAAACCTGTAGGCTGTGCACTCAGGAATGGTGTCTAAGACTTGACTCTTAGATAGTCCTATGCTGCTTAGGAGGTGCCCTGGCTGCCTGAGGCTGACTCCAGGAGTTGCAGAATCCTATCCCTGTCAGGCCTTTGTAGATACCTCTGATGAATCTTTCGTGGACGTAAAAGCTCAGAGAGCTGGTGGTATAACCACTTGGGGCCTGCTTGCTAATGCAGGTTTGTTTAGGAAATGCCCATATGTCTGAGACCTGTAGCAGGATCAAGGTGGTGGGGGAGTGATGAACAGGAGTAGCTCACCCTCACCCCCTCTAACTTTGAGGTAGCTCCTCTTACTTACTCAGAGCTATACATGACCAAACTTGCTTAGTTTAGTCTGCTCCACTGCCCTTTCTCTTCAGCTCCAGTCAAGGATGAGGAGGAACATTCAGAGCCTGGGGTTTTGGCAAAATAGGGAATTTCGGGTTCTGTATGTGTTTAGCGTTCTATTATTCCCCTTTAATTCAAATTTTCATTCCACCATAACCCTGTGGTAAGACCGTCTAGATAAAGACAGCAAGACTGCCAGTCCACTTGGATACATTTCCAGGGAAGCTGGAAAAGGAGGAATATGCCCACAAAGACAAAAAGCTCGCCTAATTACAGAGACACCCCTGGGACCGGGATGTCTCAGCAAGGCTGCACCTTCAACCCCTCACGTGCATGGGGCCTAAGTTACCTCCTTCTCTCGAATGAAGTTCTCAAAGACGGCACTGTAGGAATCATTTATTTTCTTCTTTTCTTCTATTGACTCTAACTCAAACTTTTTTGTCATTTTATGTTCTGTGGAGGTGAGAAGAAATTACACGTATGAGGAAATGTGGGGAAAGCAGATGCGAAGGAAACTCCAAATGTTTGAAGATAATAGAAATTCCAGACTGGGTCAAACTCAAGGTCCTTTCAGCCTGGCGTTCGGCTTCTGATGTTTACCTGGAGTGTGAGAGTCAGGTGAACATGGCGGTGGTTTTCAGGGATGTCAGTCATATGGGACTTACCCCAATGTCTCTGATTTTTCTGTGTATGTGTAATTTATTTTAGATCTCTTGCTTATTATTTTGTCCATTCTCACCGCCAAAGTAACCAGTATGCTTTCTTCGATATCCTTACCTTAAAATACAGCTCTTGGCTAATGTGATGCCTCCAGCATAAATATTTATTCTGTACTTAGCCCTGGGGTAGAGATAGGCTTAAACTGTTTCTGGCGCAGGGGAGCCTGCCAACAGAGGCCCAATACCAAACAGGGGTTAGTAGGGGGTAGAAGGAAGGGGTAAGGGGCTGACACAAATTTCTTCTGCAGCCTCATGGTGCTGGGGATGGATAGGGAGGCAACCTCTAGGCTCACAGGATGGGTCTGGGCTGAGCTACGCTGTGCACAGCTAAAATCTGCTTTTTCAAAACTGAGTGAACATCTTAACTTAGATTTTGACAACATGGAATGAGTATAGTGTGGGTAGCTAGAAGTCTGGAAGAAGACAGGGTCATGCTACACCAGGGTCCTAGCTAAAGCCTCAAATAGGTGCAGCTCCGCATTCCTTCCCTCAGCTTAATGCCAGGGTCTTCCTGCTGCCTCTGGCAGTCAGAGTCCCCAGTGGGGTGGGAATGGCCTTGAGGATCAACTTCCCCAGGGGGTTTCTGCATTTAAATGAGTAATTTGTTGAAATCAAACAAATCTGATACGAATTGGGTTGAGGCAGGATGCGGTACAGGTTTGTAGAGGCCCTACTCCTACCTCAACCTGTCCTCTAGGTCAGGGAGCAGAGTCTCTGTAAATTCGTCTCTCCTTTTTCCATTTATGAAGATGCTCAGTGTGGGTAGAAGGCTCATCTATAAATCACTTTCTATGATCCAAACTCTGTGCTAGGTGTTGGAAATATTAAAAATATAAAGTAATATATAAATGGATCAAATCAACATGTTGTACATTTTAAACATATGCAATGTTATATGTCAATTGTATCTCAAAGATTGAGATCCTTTTTGGGGTGGAGGATGTGGGAATCCAGAGGCTCTCAGTATAATCGATTGTGCTGTCCCTCCCCCAACAAATGAATATTTGAAACTCTAATTCAAGAACATCTTTTCTGGAACTTTGGGGTCACTTGTATCCATGTAACAAGTCAGCACTCCTACAGTTGTCCTAGAGCTTGCTCCAGCCCGTGATGGCCAAACTTGGAGAGTGAGCTTTGGAAGGTACAGGCTTAGACCCTCAAGTGGCTGAACTTTATAAAGACTCCATCCTGGTTGTCACCTTCTTGAAAACTCCATGCACCTCTGATTCAGGAGTCCAGCCATGTGGCCGTCACCCTTAGTGGATCCAAGGCTGCCTTTCTAGTTGAGACCAAACTTAATGGCAGGTTTTTTCGGTGCACGTGCCATCAAAAAGACAGAAATTTCTGTACTCACTTTGCTGTAGCAGGATCTTTTCCCACTCCAACTTCTCCTCCTTTTCCCATTCTGCCTTCTTCTTCGACCACTTGTCCTCCATTTCATCATAAATGCTGTCCTGTGGAGGCACAAAGGCACCATGAAGAAAAGGGTCCTTTTTTTTTTTTTTAAGATTTTATTTATTTATTTGAGAGAGAGAGAATGAGAGAGAGAGAACACCTGAGAGGGGATAGGGTCCGAGGAAGAAGCAGACTCCCTGCCGAGCAGGGAGCCCGATGCGGGACTCGATCCCGGGACTCCAGCATCATGACGTGAGCCGAAGGCAGTCGCTTAACCGACTGAGCCACCCAGGCGCCCGAAAAGGGTCCTGAAAAAGGCTGCACACCAGCTCCAGGCACAGCATGGGGCCCTTTGCAGCTTCCCTCACCTGGAATGCTTTCTAGGAGTCCCTCTGTGGGTGGCTGGTGGCAGCAAATTCTAGCCCAGGCCACCTGCGAGCCTGCAGAACCCTCAAAGTCAAGGGCAGGCTCTGCCTGGTGTTTGTCCCACTGGAACTGGGTTTTCTTTGAGGACAGGTAGGATTCTCCTGTTGAAGATTCACATGTCAGCTCCCTGAATCATCAATCACTCATCACTAGCCCATGGAGAAACAAGGGAAATGCCTAGTAGTTAATTTGAACACTTAGAAAACAATGGCATGTTTTTCAGAGTGTGTTTATTTTTCCTCAGCAAATCTAGCTTCCTTTGTGGTTGAGGTTAAATAAGCCTAACCCGATGCCAGTCCTTTTGGTTGGCTCAGACTTCGTGGGAGTGGGACGTCAGGAGGAAGAAGGCCTAGAACCTGGATGCTGCCAGTAAGGTCTCAGGACCCTGACCCCCTTTTTTCCAGGTTAGCAGTACAATTCACACTGGGGCCAGGCATCAGAGCTCATTTGTAATTGCTTGTGGCCATTTAGATAAAGGTTCTCTCTCATCATTTGCAAGACTGGTGGGCAGATAGAGGTCAAACTCTCTGGAGAGGTCCAGACTGAAGCAAACGTTAAGGCCTACCTAGGAAATTGGGGCATCCACCTGATGCTTCTCTTAGGCTTTGCTCTATGATGTCTTCCCTGACTGTATCAAGATACATCTTGAAAAACAAGTTTTAGATAGAAGCTCAAAAGTGAAATTGTGGTAAACAGAATTTCAGAGGTGGTGCTGGTACTTAACTTGGTTTTCTCCTTTTATATGGTGGTTAACTGTCCTTGTTGTTTGAAACTAACTTGTGTGGGTCTCTGATCATTCAATGCTAAAATCTGGAAAGTCCCAGGCAAACCATGACCAGCTGGTCACAATAGGATGGGGGTTTGCTGCCTCAGCCTGTCCTGTCCATTCCTCTCCTCTCCACTCTCTCACCCTCCTAGGAAGAAATCATGGCCTGCTTCCCTGCAGCTCCATCAGATTAACCAATTTAAATGAAGGAGTTATATTCTGAGATGGCCAGAGCACCCCATGCTCTGCTTGTGGGGGGTGCAGTGATAGAGTTTTTTGGATGGTAATTTGGCCAAATGTATCAAAAGCCTTTAAAATGTTTATCCCTTTTGACCCAGCACTCCACTAAAATCAAAGATGTTACCAAGTACAAACACTAAGAGTGCTTGTCTTGGGGTGGTGATTATTCTTTCTTTTTTGTTGTTGTTGTTGTAGTTGGTTTTTGTATTTCCATTTTCTAAAAAACAGTGAGCAGGTATGACTTTTGTAATCACAAGCATATTTTTCAATGGGCTTCTTTGGCGTCTGAGAGACTGACTTGTCACACGTGGAAACCACCACAGTCCACAGTTCACTCTTCTCCCTGGGTGTACTCAGTGTTACCCAGCTCCAAGGATGCTGGGAATCCCAGGACATGATTTTCTGGGCAAGAGTTCTAGACTTAGCCCACTGTTCTCAGCCAGGAATGAGCCTTGCCTCTTACTTTCATAATCCACCAAGGAGCTCTGAATCTCACCTGATACATATGAAACATATTCTTCAAATACTTATATTCCTTTCCCATCTCATCTGGACAAAAGGAAAACAACAGGGTCATCATTATTCCTCTGAAATGCATGTTTTCAAAGTCAAGTATGAGCTCTCATGTATACCTTTTCCACCTCAAACTCATCCTCTACGTGTTAAAACCATCTTGTACCTACGAATCACTCTGGAAGCTTATTAGAAATCCAAATGCCTGTGTTGCCCACCCCCCACCCCGGCCAAACCTACTGAATTTTGGTCTCAGAGAAGAGGCCCAATATCTATGGATAATAGGCTTTTTAGGTGATACTGATGCACATCAAATGTGAGAACTAATCCCTGGGGGGAAAAGAGGCGTAAAACTTTGTAGTATGCATCTGCTTCTCTCTTTTTAAAATAATGTGTCCTAGTGTACATTGATTTTGAAAATGATAAATGTTCTCTTTAGAAAATTGGAAAATCAGCAAGCTATAAATACCATCTTTTAAAAATGTAAGGCAAAGGAAAGAGAGAAGATTATAGAATTTCTCCTTCTCCCTGTAGAGATTAGTCTATAACCTCAGAATTCTGAAGGATATACACTTTGCCCTTCCCGAGGGTAGCATAAATAATGGGATAAATGGCCAACACAACCCTAATGTATTATAAGGCCATACAAATCATAGTGTGTCCATTAAAATATAATGAAACACCATCATTTCACAGGTGAGGTAACTTGCTGAATTATAATAGTATATTTATAGAATTAAAAAATATATTTTAAAAAGTGCTTTCACAATCTTATCTCTCTGATGGAGGCAGGTATTATTGTTCTCAATTCTTAGATGGGATAAATGAGATTAAGGGACTTGCTCAGATCCCAACACTTGGTCACAGGCCAATCTATCTCCTGGGTGTAGGAAGGACATTGGTGACGTGGTTTTCCTGTTTGCAGTTTCATTCTCAGTCACTCCCCTTCCCTGAGCTTTAGGAGGACATCTGGAAAGCTTAGCCACAGCTCATCCACCGCCATGGTCAGCCTCTCGCCCTTCACCAAGGTCATTCTCCCCAGTCCAGACCGTACCTAGTTTTTCTTGGGCAGCCAGCTTCTCTGCCTTCAATGATGCTTTGTAGTTGTTCTCCAACTGACTGAGCTCTGCTGCGTGAGCCTCTTTGAGCTCCCTGTGTGACCCGGGGAAAAGGCTACAATCATCAATCAGTGAAAAGAAGTCCAGAGCTGAGCTGAGCTGTTACACTCAGCGGATCCTACTCTCACACAGGAAGCTGTGGGCAGCCTGCAGCGCCCTCGCTTCCTGATGTGTTTCTCTTGGCATTCACCCAGAAGAAGGTGAGAAGACTCGTTTTTACCAACCATTATTTGAATGGAGCCAGTGGGGGCCATGACTCCCTGCTAAGAGCACAGTCTTTGCTTATGGCTCTCTTGGGAAACTGTGGGCTGTATTAGCATCCAGGATAATTTTAGAGCCCAAGGTCTCTCTCTCATTTTAAAGATTTATTTATTTATTTGGGGGGGGGCGTAGCAGTGGGAGAGGAAGAGAGAGAATCCCAAGCAGACTCCCCATTGAGCACAGAGCTCGGTGCAGGGCTCGATCCCACCACCCCAAGAGCATGACCCCAGCTGAAAGCAAGTCAGTCGCTTAACTGACAGAGCCACCCAGGTGCCCCGAGCCCAAGGTCTCTTTAACCTCCATTCCAGGAGGCAGAAGCTGGCAGTGATCAAGTTGAGGGAAGTGAGAGGCTATCCGAGCGGCCAAGCCAAGAGAAGACATGCAGGAACATGAGATGCATATTAGTAAGTGGCCAAAGCCAGTCCACAAAGCCTACATACTGTACAACCCCAGCTGTATGACATTCTGGGTAAAGCACAGCTATGGAGACAGTAAAAAGATCAGTGGTGGCCAGGGGCTACTGGGGAGGGAGGGATGGATGCGCAGAGCACAGAGGATCTTTAGGGCAGTGAAACTACTCTGTATGATCCAATAACGGTGGACACTGTCAATTTACATTGGTCAAAACCCACAGAATATACAACACCAAGAGTGAACCCTAATGTAAACTACGAACTTTGGGTGATAATAATGTATCCATGTAGGTTCATCAGCTGTAACAAAGGCACCACAGGGCTGCAGGAAGATTACTCAGCTTGTGGGAATGTGGGCTCAGGCTGTCTACAGGAATTCTTGTACTTTATGTTCTATTTTACTATGAGCCTTAAATTGCTCTGAAAAAATAATGAAATCTATTATAAAACAAATAAGTTACTCATTATTTTTTGAAAGCAAGGCTATGACTCAACCATGTGTAATTCTTTCCACCAGGACTCCTGAGGCAGCTCCTGTAGGTTTCCTCACCCACAAGACAATGCACCTCCTTTTACTTCCCCTCGCCTTGTCTTTGTGACTCTGCTGCCCCTCCCATACCTTCTTCCCATTCTGCCCACATCCTGGGAGCAGCCAAGGAAAGTAGAAACGACAGAACAAAAAAAAAAAAAAAAAAAGAGAGAGAGAGAGAGAGAAAGAGGGGGAGGAAGTAGAGAGGCAGGGGAAATGCGAGGAGGCGCCTGGGCTGAGAACAACAGTTGTTTACCACAGAACTCTCATAAAGAACAAAAAAGGGCTCTCCTCCGCAATCACCAAAAAAAAAAAAGGAGATTATAACTGAAGGGAAAGGATGGGATGAGGAAGTGCAACGCCAGGAACAACCTTCTCCGGGCTACGTTTGGTTGGCTTCAGGTCAAACCGTCCTGCCCATTTCCCCCACCTGTGCCCACCCAGCTCCATTTGGCCCCGTCTGGAATCCCAGTGAACTGACATCCCTCCCACAGGGAAGCAGGAGCCTTCGGGCTTGTCCAGAAAGCAAACCTGTTCTTGTTTTCGAAGTTCTCCCGCATCTCAGCACAGTGGAGAGCCATTTCCTCGGAGAGCTGGAAACAAGGCCGGCATTAACGATATAGGATGGAGGACCCCACTCCCACGCAAGCTGCAACTTCTGAGAAGCCTTCGCATTCACGGGGTATGCCGTGCCCCGCCGCCTCCCGTTTGTGTTCGGCAGTCCCAGAGAGCACATCGCCACTGAAGAGCAGGACTGCTGGAAAGTGACCTTCACAAGTGGGTTTCAATAAGCACAGGCAAGTGGGGCGTGGGGGAGGCTGTTTTTGAGCATTGCTCAGGTTTATCACTCCAGACCAGGCCGGCAGGCACCCCTGCTTGAGGTGGGGAAGAAGCGACTGTGATTAAACAGATGGTAAAGTCTAAAGGAAGTGTCACCCAAATCCCCAGGGAACACGGAGTGCGCAAGCTGACATCAGCAGATTCCAAAGTAGGCTTTGGCAATTTTAACAGCGACCGGAAGTGGGTACTGAAGGCTTCTGGGCAGATTTTGGACCACGGTGGATGCATTAACCACACTGTTGCCATGGGGAAGAGCCTTAGCACTCTCTGAAGTTTAACTAGCCACAGCAAGCCCAAGGGGAAATGGCCGGCACCCCGTGGTGTGGTGACTTTGTGGCAATGAACACACTGGAGGCCCCTGAAGAGCTCCTGGAAATTGAGTTAGCTCCCACGAGTAAAGTGCTTGGTGTCTTGCCTGGAACATAGCAGCTGATCTGAAAACACTCGTCTTTCCCCCACCCACAGAGATGTTAGCTAACTCAAGGGTCACTCACCAATTTCTGGGCAGACTGATGGTCTCTGTTCATTTGCTCAATGATCACGGTCAGCTCTGAGATCTGCTCTTCGAGGTCAGTAATGATATCAGTCCTACAGGACAAATCATCCTTCCATCACCCACAGAGTTCCCATCCCGTGCCAGTCAGGCACCTCCTGGTCTGTGACTGTCCCTGGCAGGGAGCCAGGTGAGGGCCAGGCCATGTTCTGCACTGGCTGCATCATCATGGGGCTGGGGGCCAGGGTGGAAGGGTAGTCTGGGAGAGGGAGTTGGGCAGCAGGGTGGTTGAGCCTCAGACCCAGCCCTTTTGGGTAAGCTAGCCTGAAGTGGGGGGAGGGGTAGTAGGGTGGAGGAGTGGATTGGTTACCTGTTGAATAGAAAGGAAAATGTCAGAAATCTGTGAGGGTTTGACTTTGATTCAGTAATGACAGTTGAAATGGAGGAGGAAGAATTCAGAGGATTGGGAAATGGGAAGGTGGGGGATGGGATCGAGGCTGACAGTGAATCATAGACGAGGAATTGTTCAGACACAGGACGAAGAGGGGATTTCAGAGCATGGCTTTCAGAATAGATAACGATTGTTCTGCGTTTCCAGGTCTGAAGCCTTCATGATGTCTGGAAATTATTTAGCTCTATTTGGTTGAGCTGGAGTAGACAGGGCAGCGGGCGGTGCTGTGTGGGAGGCAGCAGAGATGAGGTCCTCCATTCAAGAGGGCGAGGAAACGAGAGAGAGGATGTAGGAGGAGATAGGGAGGGAGAGACATGAATGAGAGATCTAGGAGTTAGAATGGAAAAAGACGCGAGAACTGACTTTCTACGGCATTGGAGGATCGAGTGGGTAGGGCCTGAATGACAGAGAGGATGGCACCGGGGGGGACTCAGCCAGAGTCTTCCACACTGTGCCTCCCAGAAGCATGAACTGAGTGATCTTTGGGCATAATGAGAAAGAGATGCATCCAGAAACCCTGACTTTACTCTTACTTTTCACCTTCCAAATTCAGACTATACTATTTTATGCATATTTCATCTGTTCATCACTCTAGGAAAAATTGCTTTCCTTTAGTACAAACTACACTACACCCGGTCATTTTCCAGATCAGCTTCCTGATTTGACCCTCATCCTGTCTCGAATGGGATCAGGTAGAGAGGTGGGCGTGGTGAGGAGCTCACGGGGATGAGGAGTGAAGTGGCCTTGTACTACCTTCAGAACAGGGCCTCGGTGGACTGGGCATGGAAGTTAGGGGCTTCTCCTTGAGGCCAGGCCAAGCCCAGTGGGGATAGCTCGGAGGAGCTGGATATATAGGTCCAAGGATATTACCTGGAAATTTTGATTCTGTCCACGATCTCTGCTTTCGACCGCTTTTTCTTATCAAACATTTCATCTCCCAAGGTGACGTAAATCTGCTCCCTATTTCGAATGAGGCGATAGCCAGGTGACACATTTATCACTTCCTGGGCATCAAGGTGGAAGGTGAGATAATCTTGCAGACTTGGAGTGCTGAGATTCCTCTAAATCTTTCACTAGAGTGCTACTCACATCTTAAACAAAAGACGGGTAGGATTCCAGAGCCCACGTCTCTCCTGCGCCCTTCCCCAGATACCACTCACCCTCATACCTCCAGCTCAGATGTCTCTCCTGAGATCCAGTTGCAAGACTCAAGTGGTTCATAGATGTCCCCAAAGATCCCTCAAGCTCAACATGTGCAAAACTTAACTGCTGACGCCCCATTAGGCACTCTGCCCCAAGCCCTGTATCTCATCTGCGTTCTCCACATGGCCAGAGGCCAGGAGGAAGTCAGGTGCCATGGAAATTGCTCAGTTTTTGGAACTAGACAGGCCTGTGTTCAAATCCTGGCTCTGCCCCCAACCACAGTTATTCAACATCTCTGTGCCTCAGTTTCCGCATCAGAAAAGAGGATAATAACTCTTCCTCTAAGGACTTTTGTGAGGAAAACCAAAATAACATGAGAAAATGACTAGCACAGTCATGAAAACAAACAAACATACCTATTTTAGTCAGTTCTTCCTCTGTTCCCCACTAGATCAAAGTCAGGAATCTGGCAGGGTTCCCAGCTGGCGGGGACCAAGATGAGACTGTACCTTCTCGAGTTGTGCAGGACAGCCCTAGGTCCCACCAGCCCTGTCACTGTTATCTCCTAAATGTATCCCAACTTCCTCTTCTCTCCTCTCTCCTGTCTCCTCTCTCCATACTCCTGTCCCTGGCAGAGCCCGAGGCCACCTTCACCTTTCTCTTTGGCTTTGGCCATACCGTCCCAGCTGGCCTCTCTGCCTTCATTCTGGCTTCCCAAAAGTTCATCATCCCCTCCATCTGGAGGGCAATTACATTTTTGTTTGTTTATTATTTTTTCCTGACTATTAAGGAACTGCATGATTTTTGTTTAGGGGGGGGGGGAAGAAAATAGATAAAAGCAGAAAGTAGTGAAAAGCATCAATAATATTCCATCAAATAATGTTTGTTTCTAGAAGGTAAATCTTACCTGGTGCTGGGCCCGCGTCAGACCTGTGAAGGCTCTCAGACACCAGAAGGATTAGGCCCAAACTCTTTGGCAGCTATTGAGGTCCTTCTGGGTTAATCCCCATCTCTTTCTCCAGCAGGGTCCTGGCCCTGCTCCCCTTGAGCGCCCTGATGCCCCTCCCCCCCACATGTGTAGGCTCCCAAGTGTGGCAGCAGGATTCTGACATGTGGACATGAGCTGGACCCTCGCCTGGACCGGTTGTCAGTGCCTGGTTTCTGGCACACTCTCCTTGCCCTACACAAGGCCGTAGAGTGTGGTAATTAGACGCCCTCTCTCGGGTCTGGCTGAGCTGAGTTCCAGTTTTTCTGCCACTTACCAGCTACGTTATATGCAGTAATTATAGCCCCTCCTCAGAGGATCATTGCAAAGGTTCAATGAGGTAGGTACGTGTAAAAGGCCTATGCCCGCACACAGCAGGCACTCAATAAATGTTAGTCCCCCGGCCCTCTTGCTGTTTTTACTCACATTAGGTAATGTATTGCTCTCCTCTTGTTTTCCTAAATCGACCGTCACTCTGCAAGAGAAAGGCGTGCTCAGAAAGCACCCAGGGAGCAAGGAAACGGTCGAAGCTTAGAAGCTACACCCTGATCCCACCCATCTGTAAAAAGTGACATTACCAGAATGATCTCTGAGGCCCCTTTCAGCTCTCAAAGTGTTCTACTCAGGGACTAGGGAATGTTCAACGGTCCAGGGATCATTGGCATACAGATTGTGATCAAAAGGCAGGTAGTAAAAAAGTGGGGAATTGACTAATCATGCCTATTAGAATCACTCCTAAAATAAGAGCCAGCAGACTTGGCGTGAGAATCCAAAGGGCTCCCATGGTGCATAATCTCAAATGCACACATGAGGGACATTTACATTGTCTTCACAAAAGCCTTTCTTATTTGCACCAGAAATTGGTGATATGGGACCTGAAACAGTCAGTGAAGTGAATTCAGGATAAGGAAATGGTTACTATTCTGAGATCCGGTGTTAATCCTGGTCATAATTAGTTGTTGTTTTCAGGTGCAGAAACATGAACATATCAGGTGTCCACATATCAAGAGTAGCTGTAAGGGAACTCACCTGGAAGGTTGAAAGATTGGAATAAGAGTAACAAGCTTCCGATATGCTGACAAGAATAGTTAGGCTTAGGTATATGAAGCCAGGGCCTCTTCCCTCTGCCTCAACACACACACACACACACACACACACACACACACACCCCACCCCACCGCACCCCACCCCCACCCTCCACCCCTCCTTCAGGCAACTGCTGTGAAGAGAGACAACTGAAGCCTGCTTTAGGAGTTCCATTTTCCCCATGATCAAACACAATATCTTTAAGGGTCGTGGAGTGGTTACCAGGATGAGATTCTTCCCAAGTCTGCTGGGTGTGGGGTGTGGGGTTGGGAGGATTTTTCCTGGTGGAGGCAGTTCCACCTGGGTTAATAAAGTCTGGTTTTGATCCTATATCTCCCACTCCGAAAAGGGGCCTCCAGGGAAGCATTGAAAACTCTCTTGAGAAAACCAGCCCAAGGATTTGTCTACTCCAGATACGACCACCAACCTTTTATTTTAACTGGCAAATACATTACTCTTTGTGATAAAAAATGGGCATGAATGCACAATATACACTAATAATACAATGGGACTGGATGCCTGGGTGGCTCAGTCGGTTAAGTGTCTGCCTTCGTCTCAGGTCATGATCCCAGGGTCCTGGGATGGAGTCCTGCAGTGGGCTCCCTGCTCAGCGGGAAGTCTGCTTCTCCCTCTCCCTCTGCTGCTCCCCCTGCTTTTGCTCCCTCTCTCTCACTGACAAAAAAAAAAAATCTAAATTAAAAAAAGATAATACAATGGGACTTAACATGTATTTAAAAGATTTAAATTTAAAGAATTTAAAAGAATTAAATTTAAAAGAATTAAAACCACTGGGGTGCCTGGGTGGCTCAGTTGGTTAAGCATCTGACTCTTGGTTTCAGCTCAGCCATGATCTTAGGGTCGTGAGATGGAGCCCTGAGTCAGGCTCCGTGCTCAGTGGGGAGTCGGCTTGGGATTCTCTCTCTCTCTCTGGCCCCACCCGCTGTCTCTCTCTAAATGAATCTTTTTTATTTTATTTATTTTATTTTTTATTTTTTAAAGATTTTATTTATTTGAGACAGAGAGAATGAGAGAGAGAGAGCAGGAGAGGGAGGAGGGTCAGAGGGAGAAGCAGATTCCCTGCCGAGCAGGGAGCCTGATGCGGGACTCGATCCTGGGACTCCAGGATCATGACCTGAGCCAAAGGCAGTCGCTTAACCAACTGAGCCACCCAGGCGCCCCAATAAATAAATCTTTTTTAAAAATTAAGTTTCAAGGGACACCTGGGTGGTTCAGTTGGTTAAGTGTCTGCCTTGGGCTCAGGTCATGATCTCGGGGTCCTGGGATTGAGTCCCATGTTGGGATCCCAGCTCAGTGGGGAGTCTGCTTCTCCTTCTCCCTCTGCCCCTCCCCCTGGCTTGTGTGCTCTCTCTCTCAAATAAATAAATCTTTTAAAAAAAGATTTAAAGCCACTTAAAATACAACTCAACTATCAACCACATGCTCCCATCCATAAACCGGAAACTCTTTACAATGCAAATTTTTTTGCTTACTCTGAATTTAGGAAAGCCTTGGGGTGATGGTGGTGGGGGAATCACTGAGTAGCCTGGGTCTTTAAAAAGCTGACCATGGATTGAGTTTATGTCTTTTTTTGTTGTTGGTAGATCTCCTTGAGCGCAAACAGAGACCTTCCTCAACATTACACTCACTTCAGAACCGCCCCAAGGGTCCGAGTGTGGCTTATGCGCACTTATTTTGTTGGGATTGTATTTCACGGTCTGAAAAGTAAAAGGTGTGGTCGGTCCAGAATGACTCTTCCTTGACCCTTGTTTTTCCTTGTCAACCTACTCAGATTACTCCGATTACACTAACCAAATTTTGAGACTTTATTGATGCCAGTCAAAGGGCTTCACGTTTTCTCATTCAATGAATTCAATGAGTGGTTAATGTATGCAAACCACAGTGCTCCATACCAAGAGAAATGGAATGTGATTCTTTTTATTTTAGAAGAGAAAAAAAAGGGGGGGGGCACATAAATACTGAAAATAGAAGAACAAAAAGTTAAGTGCTATAAAAATTGCAGATAAAGCATTTGCTAACTGTGTCTTCCAGGAATTGAGAGCAGTCTGCCTACTGCCATTTTTCAAGGCGACTGATATATTAAAAAAAAAACAACTGAGGGTTGCTGGAGTGGGGGGTGGGGTGGGAGGGATGGGGTGACTGGGTGATAGATACTGGGGAGGGTACGTGCTCTGGTAAGCGCTGTGAATTGTGCAAGACTGTTGAATCTCAGATCTGTACCTCTGAAACAAATAATGCAATATATGTTAAGAAAAAAAAAAGAAGAAGAAGAAGGTAGCGGGAGGGGAAGAATGAAGCGGGGGAAATCGGAGGGGTAGACGAACCATGAGAGACGATGGACTCTGAAAAACAAACAGGGTTCTAGAGGGGAGGGGGGTGGGAGGATGGGTTAGCCTGGTGGTGGGTATTGAGGAGGGCACGTTCGGCATGGAGCACTGGGTGTTATGCACAAACAATGAATCATGGAACACTTCATCTAAAACTAATGATGTAATGTATGGGGATTAACATAAGAATAAAAAAAAATTGCCGAAACAAGGTTACGACAACTGTGTTACAGTTCACATGTAAGAATTAAAACTTTTGAAATACAAAAAGTACATTGTATGTTTGCAAGAAAATTATAGGAGTGGCAAAAAGGATGTAATTCATAGAGATGTGTGTTTGAGGCCGGAGGCCCAAGTTAAAAGTTGATCGGTGAACAGATTCTTCATGTTCCCATTTGTAGGTCATGTCAACGTCTACCTGAGCCCCTTCCTGAGAGTGAGGCCCTCCTGGTCCCCCCCTGGTCCATTTCCCAGCCTCACTCAGTGCTGACTCAGCAGGACTTGGAGACTGGCTGATGTGGAGCCCCAGCAGGGTCTCACTGGAAAGTTATAAATACAGTGACCAGGTCTTTGAATTTTAAAAGTACCCACAAAGTGTCCCTCACCATATTGCAAAGCAGGACTAGGACAGTGTTAGCAGGGGCTAATTGGTGGGCAGGGTGGATATGAGTGAGGTCGCTCCCACAAGAGGCACTGGGAGACTGAGGCCTTGAGCTTGACTAGGAATGGGGGTCATCAGGTGCGATCATGGCAGGAGCGCTAGCTAGCACACAGAAGACAGGCACTAGGAACCAGCTCACCTACGTGGCCATTCAGTTGATCCCTTGCTATGAATGGGTCCCCCTCTAATCAGACTTTATCACCTCCACCATTGAAACAATCCTCTTCACTGTCGCCAGTGAACTTCAGGCCATTCAATCCAATAGTTCATCTCAGCCTTCATCTTAATTACTTATCAGCAGTACCTGACACAGATGATTAGACCCTCCTTCTTGGAACATTTTTGTCATTTTGCTTCCAGGACACCAGGTAGATGATTATTCATCTACCTCACTGACCACTCCTTGTCAGTCTTCTTTTTGGGGTCTCTCCAACCTCTCAACACTGGAGTGCTCTGGGTCTCTGTTCTCCCACCTCTGCCTACTTCTGGCTCCACTCCCTGCCTTGGAGATCTCATCTGGGCCCAGGGCTCTAGGTATCCCGTATATGCTGATGACTGTCAAGTGTGTTTCTGCAGCCCAGACCTCTCTCCCAGACCCACATATCCAACTGCTTACTTGACATTGCCACTTGGATAGTACGAGGCATCTGGAACTTGCTATGCTCAAACCCCTACAAATGTGCATCTCCCGCAGTCTTCCCCAGTTGCAGAAAATGGCAACTCCATCCTTCCTGTTGCTCAGCTCCAAATCTTGAAGTCATCCTTGACTCCTCCTTTTGCTTTTTTCTCGTACTTAACACCCATCCCATTAGCAGATCCTACCGGTTTCTACCTTCAGAATATATCTCAAAGGCAACCACTTCTCCCCACCTGTGCTGTTCTCCACCAGGTCTAAGCACCATCTTCTCTTGCTTGGGTCCCTAGAATTACATTCAGATAAGATGTAATTGGCCTCCCTGCTTCTACCGTTGGTCACTGTAGTCCATTCTCGACATAGTAGCCAGAACAGTCCTTTCAAAATGCAAGTTGGATCATGTCACTCTTCTCAGAATCCTCTGATGTTTTCCCATCTATGATGGGCTGAAAATTTGTGTCCACCAAAATTTCATATGTTGCAACCCTAACCCCCAATACCTTCGAATGTGACAGTATTGAAAACAAGGCCTTTAGAAGGGGATTAAGTTAAATGAGGCCCTTAGGGTGGGCACTGATACAACCTTACTGGTGTCCTTGTAAGAGAGTCAGGACACACAGAGAGACACCAGGGATGAGCACCCGCAAAGAAAAGACCATATGAAGAGGCAGCAAGTAGGTGGCCATCTACAAGCCAAGGAGAGAGTCCCGAGAGGAAACCAACCCTGTGGGCACGTTGGTCTTTGACCTCCAGCCTCTAGAACTGTGAGAAAATAAATTTCTGTTGCGTAAGCCACACAGTCTGTGTTTTTTGTTTGTTTGTTTTGGTATGGCAGGCCTAGCAGCGAATACACTGTCCCTTTGGAAGTAAAAGCCGGAGTCCTTACACTGTCCAGCAGACTTTACTGTATGAGCTTCCTATCGCTGCCGCAAAAAATTACTACAAGCTCAGTGGCTTAAAACAAAACCAACTCCTTACCTTACAGTTCTAGAGGCCAAAGTCCGAAATGGGTCTCACTGGGCTAAAAATCAAGGTGTTGACAAGCTTATAATCCTCCCAGAGCTTCCACAGGAAAATTTGTTTCCTTGCCTTTTCCAGCTCCTAGAAGCTTCCTGTGTTCCTAGTGGCCTTTTTTTCTCCATCAAAGCCAATGACCACATCACATCTCCTCTTTCAGGCATAAGGACCTTTGTGATAACATTGGGCCCACCCGGATAATCCAGGGTGATCTGTCCATCTCAAAGTCAGCTGATTAGCAAACATCATTCCATCTGCAACCTTAATTCCCCCTTGATGAGTAACAGAACATAATCGCAGTTTCCGGGGATTAAGATGTGGATGTCTTTGGGGGGCCATTATTCTGCCATCCACGTTCATCCTTTCTGTTGCTTCTCTGACCTCATTCCCCACCACTGTCTCCTTATGCCCTCCACTCCTGCCACATGGGCCTCTACGCTTTCCTGGAAAAGACCAAATGTGCCAAACGGGTTCCCACTCAGGGCCTTTGTACCTGCTGTTCCCTCTGCCAGGAGTGCTAGCCCCAGATATCAGCAGGCTTCTGCTGTCCCTTTTACACAAGGGTTGCCCTGAACTCCTTATATAAAATCACAATCCCACCCTCAGCATCCCCACCTCCCTTTGCCTGTGTTATTTTCTACCTAGCCCTAGGTAGGGTGTATGCATTGGGTGTGTGAACTTGTGTAAATCTATTCTCCCCACCAGAATGTAAGCTCTAGGAGCAGAGACTCTGCTGTGTTCACTGTTGTTTCCTTGCACCTGAAATAATGCCCAGAAAATAATAGGGCTCAATAAATATTTTCCAAATAAATAAAGACATTGAATACAAAGATTCATGCAAAGGCCTAAAACTAAGTTATACTTCTAAGTTTACAAAATATGGATAAAAATTTAATTTTTGAGTAAAAACAGATCTGCAATCTACAGAAAACCGTAGACGTAGAAAAGTAATCAGTAAAAGTGAGTCACCACTATAAATGCCAGGGAGGCTCCCCAAGGCTCTTTGCCTGTGATGTGCATCACATATTTGTTTCCTTTTAGGGCAGGAAATAGCAGCTCTCAGGGGCATCCTAAATGAGAGCTCATTTCTTGTGATTTTGAAAGCTGTGGGTGCAGAGGGTCACACAATTTACATGTAGGATCTGAGGTGTGGGGGAAATCACAGCGGATTCTGGTAATTCCTGCCCGCATGGATGTAAAAATACTCACTTTGGGGCAACAACAGGTTTTGTTGTTGGTTGAACACAACTTTGTTTTTTTGCAGCTGGAGGAAGAGGAGTTAGCCTGAAAGTGAAAAATAAATAATGGAAGAGAGAAAATTAGGAATTCAGAAACCCCTTTTAGCACTCCCAGATTAGGTACATGGCCATGATGACCCAAAATTGGACTACATGCTCCAACTGCTGAAATCTTTAAAGTCAGGAAGGTCTTGGGGAGTCTCTAGCAGAAGGAGGTTTACTTGAGGAGGTTCACTTCCCAGGGGACCTGGGGTTGGCAGCATAGCTTGTCCCCCAGCTCCCAAAGCTCTTCGTCCCCCATGGGGGGCTCTGGGGCCCTTTGGTTGGAAGTCGCCCTTTCCCTGCTGCACTCACTCTGAGATTTCCTCATTTAAAATGACACCGAAAAAAAATGACACTGAGCCTAAGGAGGACTGGCAAGAGTGATGTGCTGCCAACAGGTTGGCTGGAAAAGCTGTGGAAAGCTAGGCTTTCTGATCTTCTTGGGATTTTGTTGCCTAGTTGACTGGAAATATTGTTAGAGAAAAGAGCCTACAAATGGAAACCTAGTCCCCAGGTCGAACTCCATCCTTATTATCCTTACTTGGGCTTCCCTATGGAGGTCTTGGCTGGTGGCCGAGGGGTCTTGATTAGCTTCCGTGGTCCCAAGTTCCAGGGGTCCCAGCAGGTGCAGTAGATGAGAGGGTTGGGGTACATGGCAGGAGGTCAGAGGCGGTCTTGGCCACTAGATCAGGAGGCTCTTGCTGAAGTTGGAAAGTAACAGCAGAGGGTTACACCATTCATAGTCAAAGCAAAAACATTTAGAAACAAATTAGGAAGGACCCAGCAAAAGCCCAAATCACAGATGGTAGATTCTGGAAGCTGTTGATCTGGTGTAAGGTCTTGATTATAGAATAACATCTCACCCTTTGGTACCCCATAGACTTGACTCTAAAGCAATTTAAATTTTGCCTCCATTGAGTGCTTACTGTGAGCCAGTTGCACAACAAATGATCGATTATTGTTATCCCAATTTTACAGGTGAAGATCCTGAGGCTCAGAATGATCACAGAGGTAGCAAGTTGCAGGGCTGGAAATAAGCACAAGTCTACTGGACTCCCAAGCCCTTGTTCCATCAGGCTACACTAGCTCTCACTGAAATGAGAAGTTCCTACAGTAGGTCTTGCACAGAATTTCCTAGAAAATTAACTCTGTTACTCAAATTACAGTGCAAGTGAATGTCCTAGTTTCTCATTCCTGTTCACCTGCCCGAATTTAGATCAAAACTCTTCCTTCTTGGCTCCATGAAAACAAAACCAAAGAATCCCTATTATAAATGTCCGCACGGAAGACAACTATCAGATAAACAGGGAGGCTTGACTACACTTGTTTATCTTCTTTATTTTCCAGAACGCCACTAAAATGATAGTATAGGATTGTGAGATACTAGAAAAAAATATATATTGGTCTCTGCCCCCAGTTCCCGATACAGGAAACCCTTGTGAATCCCAAGGAATAAGAACACTAGGAGCATCGTTGTTCTAATGAGGCAACTCTGGGTGGGCTCCAGGATGGGGGCTGGTCACCAGAAAAACCAAGACATGATTAAAAAGTTAAGAGTTTTCAGCCTCAGTCCCTGCCCCCTGCAAGGAGGGGAGAGGGCCTGGAAATGGAGTTAATAACTGATCATACCATGAGGAAGTCTCCATAAAACTCCCAGAAGTATGGGGTTCGGTGAGCTTCAGGGTTGACAAACACATTCACATTGGGAGGGTGATGCACCCAGACTCCATGAGGACAGATGCTCCTGCGCTTGGGAGCCTCCTAGACCTCACTGCTTGTACTGATTCATCTGGCTGTTCATCTGTATCCTTTATCATATCCTTTAATAAACGGGTAAATGCAAGTAACTTTTTTTCCTGAGCTCTGTGAGCTGTTCTAGGCAAATTAACTGCACCTAAGGAAGGGGTCATGGGAACCTCTGATTTATAACTGATGGGTCAGAAGCACAGATGACAACATGGATTTGCAATTGGTATCTCTGGCGGACGGGACAGGGCATGGTGCGCAGTCTTGCGGGACTGAGGCCTTACCTGTGGGATCTGGAGCTACCTACAGGTAGAGTGTCAGAATTGAGGTAAATTATAGGACTCCCAGCTGATGTTGTAGAGAATTGCTTGGTGGGGGAAGACCCACATACATCTGGTGTCATAAGTGTTGTGAGTGTGATAGTTGTGTGAGAGCAAAAGAGAGACATAGGAGGAAGGACTGGCTTTTTTCCTAATTCAAGGATTAAAAGAGGTTTAATTTGACAAGAACAGGGAGAGTGGGAGAGGAGACAGAACTGTACAAAGGTTGTCCATGCAAGTTTGACACAATAAGTCCCCCACTCAGCACGCCATTGGAAGCTGAAGCCTACACGCCTGCAAAGTGGGTACAAACCAGAAGGGACGAATTCACGCATCAAAGGCCCCCAAGACTTGGGACTTGGACCTGGTGGATTGTTGGATAATATGGACAGGCCTCTGGCAGATCTGTTAGAGCACGTAGTAGGCCAGATGATGAGCCCTCCCTGCCAACATGTCCATGTGTCCATCCCTGGAACCTGTGCAAAAAGAGGACTTGCAGCTATGATTAAGTTGAGGATCTTGAGAAGGGAGATGATCCCAGATTATCTGTGTGGGCCTAAGGTAATCTTAAACCTCCTTATAAGAGGGAGAGTCAGAATCAGAGAAGAAAATGTGATGATGGAAGGGGAGGTAAGAGTGATCAAGGAAGGGCCACAAGCCAAGGAATGTGGGCATCTTTAGAAGCTGGAAATGGCAAGGAAATGATTCTCTGCTAAAGCCTCCAGGAGGAACCAAGTCCTGCCAACACCTTGATTTTAGCCCAGTGAGACCCATTTCAGACATGTGACCTCAGAACTGCAGGGGAATAAATTGGTGTTGTTTTAAGCCACTAAATTTGTGGTCATTTGTTACAGAGCAGTTGTAATAGGAAACAGAGCAATCGAGGTGAAATTACCAATAGAAACATAGAAACCTAAGAAAATAAAAATTGCATAATGACTCCAGGTTACAAAATATTATGGAAGAAAGTAAACATGGTTATAGTAAGGTACGCACTCATATATATTAATGTAAACACTTAATAGTGATTTAACCAAAAAGTGAATTGGGACTACATTGGCAGAGAAGGGGAGGGGAATGGAGGGAGGGCATATAAGGGCCAAATCCTCATCTACCACACCAAGAAGTCAATAGACAATGGCTCAAACTGAAAAATTAACAAATGGAGTGGGGGCACATTATTGAGAAGTATGAAGTTAAATTCCAAAAGAAATAGCTTCAAGAGCTGAAAATAGTTGCCCCTAAGGAGCATGCTGAGGAATAGAATTGAGAAGTGAGGGGCAGGGGGCAGAAACGCTAACTTTTCATTAATAAACTCATAACACAATTTACTTTTTAAATGATATCAGTGGATTATTTGATAGAAAATAAAAACCAATGCCCCAAAATGTTAGGTGAACCAACAGACCCACAGAGGGATTACAACGACAGCAGATTTAACTCAAATTTCTAAGTCAGTGGCTGGTTTCCAATAGTACACTGGAATAAATTTGTTTAAGAATCAACTGAAAAATGAAACAAACCTTTTTGTGTAACGTGACCAATGCTTGAGAAACCCAGTTGTATGTTTTAATGACTTTTAGAGCGAAAGGTAACCATAACATTGAGTCCATTTTACAGATGAAGAAACAGATGCAAAATGAAGTGACTCCTGGGCTGCCTGTAAATGCTCATTTAACGACAAAAACACTGGGGTGCCTGGGTGGCTCAGATGGTGAAGCATCTGCCTTCGGCTCAGGTCATGATCTCCAGGTCTTGGGATTGAGTGCCATGTCGGGCTCCCTGCTCAGTGGGGAGTCTGTTTCTTCCTCTCCCCCTGCTTGTGCTCTGTCTCTCTCTCAAATGAATGAATAGAATCTTTAAAAAAAAATAACCGCAAAAATACTTACAGGCTCTTGCCGTGAGGACTGTTCTAGTTGCTGCGGGATACTGCACGCTTGCACCCTGCCCTTGGGGAACTTGTGGTCGGGAGGGTAGCCATCAGAAAGGGAGCTGAGTGGGCTGTGGAGCCAGGGCAGGAGACCTGGCCTTGGGAGAAAGGCAGGATGTGCAGGTGGAGGTAGGCCTGCCGGATGGGCTGGGCCAGAGGTCTGGGCCCAGGGTGTCCCCCGGCCAAGAGACTGGGTAAACAGCACGCGCCTAAAGACCGGGTGACAGGGCCCCCCACATCTAGCTGTGTTCTGTGTGCTTGGGGGCCTAGTCAGGAGATCTGAGGTTTTATTTATTTGACAGAGGGAACACAAGCAGGGGGAGTGGGAGAGGGAGAAGCAGGCTTCCCGCTGAGCAGGGAGCCCGATGCGGGGCTGGACCCCAGGACCCTGGGATCATGACCTGAGCCGAAGGCAGACACTTAACGACTGAGCCACCCAGGCGCCCCCTTTATTCTATTTCTTGCCTGACCAACCGCACTGTGTGGTTCTTGAAGGGCGGGACTCCACCAGGTCATTCTCTGTGTCCCCAGGGAGCCTGGCCCAGCGACTTGTCCACAATGGGTCCTGGATAAATATTTGTGGCCTGACTGATAAACTGAGTGGCTCTCACCACAGGGACCGACCCGACAAGGAGGAAGGAGATCCACAGAGGAATTGCAAAAATGTCATCATTGTTACAATGGTATAGATAATATGAAAAATTAGAGTTAAAAAACCCAAAATGATTGGTAAATTATTGTACAGTCACTCAATGGGAATTTTACATAGATTTTAACGGATTATTTGAAAGCCTGTGGGAACATGAAGAAATGGTTAGGAACAAAGATATAAAATGGTATATACGCAATGGATACAACTATGTAAAAGTATGTACCTATATGCACAAAAGTTAGAAAAGAATATGGTAAAAAAGGAAAATTGGGCCAAAATACCAGGATTATGGGTTTTTTTTCTTCTACAACATTCTTTACTAAGATTTTCCTTGGGTTTTGGAGTCAGGTGGGCCTGACTTTGCATAATTACTACTCTACTTAATAGCTGCAGAATCTCAAGACATTTACTTTTACTTTTCTGGGTCTTGGTTTCTTCATCTGCAAAATAGGGACATGGAAGTTCCGCCTCAGTGGGAGGTCATGCACACGAGATGAGACCATGTCAGAAAAGCTCTCGGCCCACTGCCTCGTACACATTAGGTTCTCAAAAACTGGTAATTGAGTTTAGGAACATTACAAACCCTAGTGATATTTTTGTATACAGAAGCTTTTATTTCTAATATTTGGAAAGAATAGGTTTATTTGTGTGTGTGTGTGTGTGAAATTGAAATAGTCTCACTGTAAAGAAAATCATAATACAGGGAAGCCTAAGGAAGTAAAAATTATCCGAAATACTAACATGATGACCACTGGAAATATTTTGGTTAATAACTTCTAGAATTCTCTCTAGACTCAAGAAACAGATTCATATAATTTTCCATAAATGGGAAGAAACTATACATACATTCTACATATACTTTTTATCAACAATGTCATGAGCTTCTTTTAATGTTGGTAACTATAGACATATCATCATTTTTTAAACTTAAGTTCACTGTGGATAAATTTTTTAAATGTACAAAAGTAGGGAAAACAGTGTAATGAACTCACTTGTCACCCAGCTTGGACAATTAGCAATTTGTGGCTAATCTCATTCATCTATACCCAGCCCACTCCTCTAATACCAGATTGTCTGTTTAAACAAATATTTTAAAACAAATTTAAAGCAAGTCCATAATTTTAATTATAT